ACATCGTGCCACGTGTGCATTGTAGAGCAGTTACCACCGTCAGGTTGGTGTAACATCCTTTGCCTCACATAGTTACCATTGTGTTGTTGGGGCATGCTTCTTTAGTGTCTTATTTAATCTAGAACATTCCCCAGCCTTTGCTTGTTTGTCTTTTATGAGTCTTCAAGAGCCCAGGCCAGTCGTTTGGGCTCTGCCCGCGTCTCCCTGAGGGGCATCATGTTGACTGGCCCTGTGGGCACCCCACCCGTGATGGCGTGTGCCCCTCTCGATGCATGGAGCAGGTGGCTCCATCTCATCTGTCAGTGGTGGTGCTTGTTGACGAGCTGACTTCAGAGCTCCTTGTTGTGAAGGTGCTTTTTCTTCTTTCTGATTAATCTGTGTGGTGGTCCTTGCAAGCCATGTCACTGTCCTGTTTCCCTGACAACCTTTCCTTCAATGACCTGAGCATTTATTTTTTTTTTAAAAGGTTTATTTACTTATGCACACAAGAACTGGGGTACAGGCCAGAGGTGTGGGGTGGGAGGTCGAGAGGATTCACCAGAGACAGAGTGGGGAACAGAACAAGCAGACTGACTAAAATCCACTGCTGAGGGGAGCAGCGGGCAGTCAGGAGAGGTCTGCTGCGCATTATGGGTATCTCCCTGGCTGACCGGGGATCTAACTCATGCTGCAGAGGCTGTAGAAAGCCCCACAGTGCTGTGCTAATCCCCCTGTGCCACCAGGGAGCCACAATGACCTGAGCATTTATGCCCTGACATAGGGGAGTGGTCTGTCTCAGAGCCCAGAGGTTCATCCTGCCCCATTGCAGCTGGAGCTGCGTTGTTCCCTTTTAGGGATGTCGGGTTGTCACCCCATCCCTTGCTACTACAGACAGCACTGCAGGGACTGTCCTGCTTTGGTGTTTTCAGGCACTCTGTGCAACAACACACACCCCTGGGCCACGCCTGTAGGTGGGGTGGAAGGTCCTTGAGTAGAGAAGGGGTGTTAATCTTCATCGTCTGTTTTTCTCTTCCTTTTTCACCTTACCCACTTTCTTCTCTTCGTCCTCATCATCTTCACCTTCATCAACCTGCCCAACCTGTCCAAAGTCCTCTTCCTACCCACTGACTCGTTTTCATCCTCGTCAGTATTGGTCGGACCGCACATACGGGTTTGGTAGCTGTTTAAAAAAGAAAAAGAAAGAAAGATTGGGCCTCCTCTGGTGGCGCAGGCGGTTGAACGCAGCGCTGTGAAGCTGCCCGCAGCCTCTGCAGCGCCGGTTCAATCCCATCCGGCCGGCGAGGGTCCCACATGGCGCGGCAGACCTCTCCTGCCGCCCGCTGCTCCCCTCAGCAGTGTGTTTCGTCAGTCTGCCTGTTCTGTTCCCCGCTCTGTCTCTGGCGAATCCACTCACCCTCCCGCACATCTAGCCTGTACCCCGGATCTTATGTGCATGAATAAATATCTTTAAAAAGAAAGAAAAAAGGTAGCTGTGATACAAACCACAGGACACATGCCCACCCAGGAGCCAAAGGGCAGTCCCTGTAACACCCCACCTTCCATTTAGTCCCTCTTGGAACTCCACCACCAAGCTCAGGGGCTTCACCCCTATGGAATTGTAAGTGTTGTTGGGTTTTCGTGTAAGACTCGCCGGAGCTGGAGAGCTATGACCGGGGCTGCTGGGCATGGTGAGACTGCAGTAGCATTTTACTTTCTGTACAACAAAAATCAAATCTTAACATGGGGGGGGGGGGAGAGAGAGGCGTGAAGAGGAAAGGCCAGGGCAGTGAGGTGGGTGGCGAGTGATGTCCTGGGAGTAGCAGGTGAAAAGCAGGTCTGGCTGAGGTGCTGGACAGACAGCAAGTCTCAGAAAGGACAAGGGACTGTCCCAGGGTCACTTGGCGAGTTGGTGGTCGAGCTAGAGCAGAACTCAGCACTCCCATTCCCAGACAGGGCCGCCGCACTGCCTTCCCCATGGCCTGGGTCCAGGCCCACATCACCCTAGAAGGACCTGCTGGGCCTGATCGGGGCCTGGCCAGGGACTGGGGTGTAGTAACCACTCCCAGCCACTCCGGCTCTTAGCTCTTAGCTTTTGACTTGGAGAGAGATGTCCCCGCTGGACCAGGGGTATCAGCGTGGGCACCACTGGGAGGAGCCATCTGAGAGGGGCTCCCTGCCAGCAGGGCTTCTCTGCCAACGCCAGATTTGGTCCTGGTGCTGAGCGGTAGCAGTTCCAGTTCTCAGAGCAGCCCCGGAAACAGAGGGGTTAACACCAGCCCATTGTACAGGGGCGGAAAGCGGGTCCCGAAATCTCAAGTGCAGCAAAAGGGAGACGTTAGTTCCTGTCTCTCCTTTCCAGATCTTCCCTGGTCAAAGCCCAGCACCTCCAGGAAGCGGCCCTGACCCGTCCTGGGCTAGCCCCTCCTCCTGGGCTCTGCATATTTCTCCCTCTTCCTCACATGCTCCTGTAGGCCCCTCCTGTAGGCCAGTGCAGTCCTCGCCCCCAGCTCTCGGCCACAGTGCGGGTGCTTAAGGCTGGACCAGGGAGCGCTTAGGGCTGGGTCGTGACCGCTGAGTTGGGCAGCATGTCCACTTGAAGCCTGACTTAGGCCAGGCTGTTTGGCCCCTTGGCCTCTTCGGGGTCCCCATCTGTAAAATGGGGCTAATAATAGCCTCACTCCGAGCTTTAGAGCATTGGATAAGCCATAATGTGCCGAGGACAGGGCCTGGCACAGAATAAGTGCTCAGAAAACAGGACTGTTATTATTTTTATTATTATCATCAAGTCAGTGGGGAGGCGGTGGCAGCAGCTGCAGGCCTGGAAGGGAGTGTTTGCAAACTGACAGCTGGGCGGGTGACTAACCACGCCACAGCCTCCGCACCCTCCTCCCTCCTCCGTGGCAGAGTTTTGGGAGGAAGGGGGAGGCCTGGGAATGTGGAGAGCTAGCAGAGCCCCTGTCTAGAAGGACCTGAAGCTTAGGGGCCTAGCCAAACCCGGTGTGATGTGACCCCGGTTCAAGGTCCGAACTGTCACCCCTAATTAGCTATGTGACTTCAGGCAGGCCATTCAGTGTCATGAGCCTCAATTTCTGCTTTCTGAGGTAAAAATGAAGGTAAGAAGAGCTCATGACTTCCCATAGTGAGGGCCACAGGAGGCTAGGAGCTGGTTCTTGTCATCATGGGGCTCAGTCTTGTGAATATGGGTGGGGAGTCCAGGCTCATCCTCCTTGGGCCCCGGTCTCTGTGTCTGGACACAGGTGGACAGGCTGGCCTCTGGGGACAGGACGTGCCGTGTGTTCTGGGAGGAAGGGAAGCCCTTTTGTCCTGGGGAGAGGATGGGGTGCATGCCAGAGCCTGCGCCAGACACTTCCCTTTCTGGGGTCTCTCTACTCCTTCCACGGCCCATTGCTGGGGCCGGTGCTGTCCCCACCTTTCGGGGTAAGGAGGTCAGGTCACTTGCCCGTATTGCCCACTGGACAGAGCCAAGTCTGCCTCACTGTGGCAGCGGGAGTGAAGCCTAGAATCGGTGGTGGTTCCCAGCTCCTCTAGTCCCCAGTGCAGACTCTCCTCACTGATGCCCCCCCAGGCCCCGCAGAAGCAAACCCTGGTTCCCCACATTGGTATGGGAGCCCCTGTCACCCTGCAAGTTTCATGCCAGGCAGGCCCACCAAAACCTGCAGCAGACCGACACCATGCTCTGGGGTAGACTCTGGAAACTTGGGGTCTTGGCACCCTAGGTGGGCAGAGTGTCTCCCAGCCTCCCCTCACCTTGGGCCTTCCAGCTGTCTGTGTTCTCACGACTATGCCTACCTCTGCCCCAGCAACTTGCTCAGGCTGTCCCGACAGCCCTCTACCTTCAGTCTTCAGGGCTCGGCCTCAGTGCTCCCTCCTCCAGGAAGCCCACCTAAGCTCTGCCGGCCTTGCTCGCCTCACTCTTTCAGGCCCTTGCTCTCAAATGTCTTCTCCCACTGCTTGGCCTGGGGTATGTGGTAATGTCTGCGGCTGTCAGGCCAGTCCCCAGACCTCCTCATCCTGTCAAGTGATCCTGGGGATGAAGTGCAGGGAATTTCTCTTCCAAATCTGTGACCATGGAGAAGTCACTGACGTTGTGTCAACCTCAGTTTCTTCATCTGTTAAACAAAAACATTAATCCAGCCCACTGATTCCTTAGTCCAGGGTGGTACTGGTGGTTGGCTGGCTGATCTCAAGGGGGGCTGTGGGCCGGGGTAGCTTTTGGCAGGGGTGCGGGGGTGGCCAGCTCTATGGAAGTAGACATGCACGGCAAAGTGCACTGATCATAAGGGTTCAGCTCGGCAGGTTGCCAGAGGGGCTTCCCCACCCCTCCCAGTAGCCCAAGGGTGATCATCTCTTCACCACGGCTTCACACCAGTGGACTCACGCGGCCTGCACTGCTCTGTGTGGCTCCTTTCTCAGTGTTGTCTGAGACGCGTCGGTGCCGTCTCCTACCCCAGTGGCGCGTCCACCCCGCGTGGCGGGCTGTTCTGCACACAGCAGCCGTCTGCCTCCCGCAGGCGCGGCCAGCTCCAGTCTGAGCATCATGATGGGTGCCCCGGGGGTGCTCTCCTGCTCATGCCGGTTTCTCTTGGGTGTGTGCAGAGAGAGGGGTGACCAGGCGGAGGGGTCGGTATGTGTTTGATCTTGGCTGCGTTGCCTGGGCCAGATTCTGTGGGAGAGGGAGTGAAGAGGCCCACAAAGCACGAGTGACCGCAGCACCTCCGAGTCGCAGAGCTGCTCTGGGATCCCTTTCCACGCTCACCCCCGAGCATCCTTCACCCCTGTTCTCCCTTCTGTTGGCCTGGAAGATCCCCTCTGAGCGTAGGGTTGGTGGCCCCTCTATTTGTGAGGGCCTCCTCCCCTCCGTGGCGCCCTCAGACAAGAGAATCTCCCTGGCTCCTACTCCAGCCCTGCAAGCCCTTGGCATCTGCTCACATCGCCGTGGGAAGGAGTGGGGTCTCGGTGGCTTGGGGAGCCATCTTGCCTCCTTCCTGATCTTCCCACAGCTCTCATGGTACCAAGTGACAGGTCGGCCTTCCTGTGACACGGGGACGCCAGATCTTCTGAGAAGATGTCAGCGATACAGGTACCACCAGGGCGGGCGTCTCGGGCAACACCCCCAGGGGTGCCGAGCTCAAGAGCGTGCTGGAGCTCAGATGGCTCCACTCCCCACTTTCCCTGCCGGCTGTCCCGGCCCGGGCTCTGAGCAGGGTAGAGCTCCAGCTGCACTGTCAGAGGCAGGCCCCTGCCTGGGAGCCCAGGTCTGAGTCAGTAAGGGGATCTCCGCTGCAGAGACCCCGAGTTCTCAGGAGGTGGGCACTTCACCCAGGCTCTCCGAGGCCACCAAGAGGCTGCGGCCTTGGGGTGTGTGGACAGATGGGTGGAGAGGGGCCCCGGGCTGCACCCACCCACCCGTCACCTGCCCCGCAGGCCGCCTGGCCGTCCGGTACAGAATGCATTGCCAAGTACAATTTCCACGGCACTGCAGAGCAGGATCTTCCCTTCTGCAAAGGAGATGTGCTCACCATTGTGGCTGTCACCAAGGTAACCAGGGACCTGATGCCCCCACCCTTCCCCGCTCTGGGTCCTGCTTCCCCTGCCAGGGAAGATGGAGCTAAGCGCACGTCTGCTCTGCCCTCTCCAGGACCCCAACTGGTACAAAGCCAAGAATAAGGTGGGCCGTGAGGGCATCATCCCCGCCAACTACGTCCAGAAACGTGAGGGTGTGAAGGCGGGCACCAAACTCAGCCTCATGCCGTGAGTACTCGAGGAGGGGCCAGGGCTGGGGAGGAAGGCAGATGAGGAGTCCTGGGCCCCCCAAGAGAGAAGCAGGAAAACGGGTTCCCAAGTAGGTGGCTGGAATGTCTAGAAGAGCTTGTCCACGTGAGGGGAAGGGCGTGAGTTGAGTGCTGGCCCCCGAGGAGGACGGGGTTAGGAGGGTGGATGGAAGGAGGCCAGGGAAACCCAAGACAGATGCCATTGCCCGCCTGCGCCAGTGAGCTGAGGAGGGGCCTTCAGAGCGTGGAGCCCGGCCGCTGTCTGGGGAGGCGGGGTCAGTACCTGGGGCCACCGTGACCCCTGGCCTGTCGTCCTCAGCTGGTTCCACGGCAAGATCACGCGAGAGCAGGCAGAGCGGCTTCTGTGCCCACCAGAGACAGGCCTGTTTCTGGTGCGAGAGAGCACCAACTACCCCGGGGACTACACGCTGTGTGTGAGCTGCGAAGGCAAGGTGGAGCACTACCGCATCATGTACCACTCCAGCAAGCTCAGCATCGACGAGGAGGTGTACTTCGAGAACCTCATGCAGCTGGTGGAGGTGAGCCGGGCGTCCTCCGTGAGCCAGGCCTCCTCCCTCAGCGGCGCGTCTGCTGCTACTCTGAGCCCACAGTGTCGCCTCAGGGAGGGTGGCTCTCCCCTATTTCACAGGCCAGGAAATGGAGGTTCAGAGCAGTTGGGACCCACCCGAGGTCACACAGCTATAAATTGCAGGTGCCAGGACTAGAACTTGTCTGACCTCAGAAGTGTACATCCAAGCGCGTAAGCTTCACTTCATGAGCTGCGCTTCGACGACCGGGTTCCCTGGGCTCCTGTACCTGCACAGCTGTGTCCTCATTTCCCTGCAGTTCTCGGGGCCAGCTCTGCCAGCCCTGGCATACCGGGCATCTGGCAGCCTCCTGGATGCCTCCCGTACACCCACACACGCTCTCACCTTCTCCGCCTGCTGACCTGGCGTAGCCTGTGGCAGGGAGGGTCCTGGGCATAACTGGCTGGAGGCTGGTATCTACAGTGATCCAGGGCTTGCCCTCTACCCTGGGATGCCTGTGAGGCCCAGAGTGGTAGCAACAACCTGGTGTCCTTCCAGCACCCTGGGGTGGCATGGGAAGTGGGCCGAGTGTCTGAATCCGCAGCCTCTTTGGCAGTTGTTGGGTCAGAAGTAGGAAGCCGTGCCTCCCCACCCATGGCAGCGCTGGCCTGGGTGGTGCCATCCTCTACTGCCCTCTGGTGGTCAGGCCTGGGGGGTGCATGTGCAGGGCTAAGGGGCGCCCAGACTGGCTCTGAGCCCCTAGACTGGCTCTGAGCGCCCGCCTCCCTCGCCAGCACTACACCTCGGATGCGGACGGACTCTGCACTCGCCTCATCAAACCAAAGGTCATGGAGGGCACGGTGGCCGCCCAGGACGAGTTCTTACGTGGTGAGCACCCGCCTGCACCCCCTTTTCATTCACCTGTTTCCTCCTCCTGCCGGGCTTCCTCGGTGTCCCCATGCCAGAGGCCCCGGAGAGCCCCACACGCTCCATTCCAGTCGGCCTCTGCCACCCCTGCTCTGGCTTCAACAGCCTCATTACCCTCCCACCCCCAGGCGGCTGGGCGTTGAATATGAAGGACCTGAAGCTGCTGCAGACCATCGGGAAGGGGGAGTTTGGAGGTGAGTGGAAGGAGTGGGTACCCTGGGAGGGGCTGAGGGACATGGGGGACCCGTCACACCCACACTCTCTCTGCCAGACGTGATGCTGGGTGATTACCGAGGGAACAAAGTCGCTGTCAAGTGCATTAAGAATGACGCCACCGCCCAGGCCTTCCTGGCTGAAGCCTCGGTCATGACGTGAGTTGGGGCGCGGGTGGGCGTGGTGGGTGCCTCTGCCAGCAGGGGAGGGGACTTGGCCCTCTCTGACCACCCCGTCCTGCCCCAGGCAACTGCGGCACAGCAACCTGGTGCAGCTGCTGGGTGTGATCCTGGAGGAGAAGAGCGGGCTCTACATCGTCACTGAGTACATGGCCAAGGTGTGTGCCTGCCCCCCGCCCTCCCCCACGCTGGGGCCGAGCGCTTGCACGCGGGCACCCCAGGGCCCCGAGCCCTCCCTGCGCCCTGGGCCTCTTGCCAAGTGAGCTCTGAATCACCAGGGCTAGTCCTTGGTCCTGGCTCATGGGTCACTCTGGCCTTGGAGAAGTCACATCAGCTCCCTTACTCTCCGCTTCCTCGACTGAGAAATGGAGAAAATTGCAAAGGTTATCTCAGAGCTGTGTGAGGACGAGGAGGCAGTCCCGGGAACACGCTGGGCAGTGTCCAGCATGGAGGCTCTAGCCTTCGTGCGCAAGAGAGGTCCTGAGCCCTCCCCGCGCCCCTCGCGCCACCCTTGGGTGGCATGGTGTGCTCAGCCCGGGCTCACTGTTCCCGGGGGCTGGAGGGCAGGTCTGACCTGTGGTCTGTCTGTCTCGCCCCAGGGGAGCCTGGTGGATTATCTGCGGTCGCGGGGTCGGTCGGTGCTGGGCGGAGACTGTCTCCTCAAGTTCTCGCTGTGAGTGAAGCAGCCCCGGGGGTGGGGGGCCCCACCCTTCAAAAGGAGCCCCAACTGAGGCGACCTGTGGCTGGCTCATCCCCAGAGATGTCTGTGAGGCCATGGAATACCTGGAGGGCAACAACTTCGTGCACCGGGACCTGGCTGCCCGAAACGTGCTGGTGTCCGAGGACAACGTGGCCAAGGTCAGTGACTTTGGCCTCACCAAGGAAGCCTCCAGCACCCAGGACACGGGCAAGCTGCCGGTCAAGTGGACAGCCCCCGAGGCCTTGAGAGAGAAGGTGGGTGGGCCTCCCTCCAGGACTTGAGCAGCGGTGGATGGGGGTCCAGGGTCACCACCACCCCAGATTCCCAGGATCTGACACCGCCTCTCCCATCCCCACGGCAGAAATTCTCCACCAAGTCTGATGTGTGGAGTTTTGGAATCCTCCTCTGGGAAATCTACTCCTTTGGGCGAGTGCCTTATCCAAGAATTGTAAGTGTGGGCTCTGGGGCCCCGCAGGCACGAGAGCGGGGAAGGCTGGCAGGGGTGGGCTTCTCTGCCTGCGCCTCAGTCCCGGGCCTGGAAGTCGCAGCCCTGCCCTGGAGCTTCCAGGCCTCTTGCTGGAGCAGGGTCTGCAGCAGAGCCAAAGGGGAGCCTGAGGGGGGATGCCGAGGACGGGTCCCCTCTAGCTGGGGGCCCCGTGCCCACTCACATCGCCCCCCCCCTCCCCCGTAGCCCCTGAAGGACGTCGTCCCTCGGGTGGAGAAGGGCTACAAGATGGACGCCCCCGACGGGTGCCCACCCGCGGTCTACGACGTCATGAAGAACTGCTGGCATCTGGATGCCGCCACGCGGCCCTCCTTCCTGCAGCTGCGGGAGCAGCTGGAGCACATCAAGACGCACGAGCTGCACCTGTGACCGCGGCCGCAGGGACTGGCCCGGACAGACTGTGGACCTGGTGCCTGCGCTGGGGCTCTGTGCTCCGTCCCAGCCCGTGCCCCCTCCGGCCCCCGGGGGCCCCACCCAGGCCTGGCAGCTTCTTACGGACCCACCGAAGGGCCTGAAGGGAGGAGGCCGAGGAGCGGAAGGCAGACGCCCCCACGTGGCCAGGCTGCTCCGGCCTCCCTTCTCACCTTCTTAGAGTTTTATTCCTTTCCTTTTTTGAGATTTTTTTCCGCGTGTTTATTTTTTATGATTTTTCAAGATAAGGAGAAAGAAAATACCCTGCAAATGGGCATTTTACAAGAAGTACGAATCTTATTTTTCCTGCCCTGCCCATGAGGGTTGGGGAGGCCAGGCCCCTCTCTAGGGACCCATCGCCCCAGCCTTGTTCCCCATTCCGTGTTCGTGTCCCGTGTCGCCTCGGTCGCCCCGTGTTTGCGCTTGACCGTGCTGCACTGTTTGCATGCGCCCGGGCAGACGTCTGTCAGGGGCTTGGAGCTCGTGTCCGCTGCCGCCCGCCCACCTGCCTTGTGAGATGGACCCGTAATAAACCACTCCGTGAGGACACCGCTGCCCGGCCTCGGCGCTTCCTCCGCCGAGCCCGCCAGTCCCGCCCAGCTCCTCATCCCTGTCCATCTTGTCCATCCCCCTGTCTCTGTGAGTGGGGCTGTGCTTCCCTGTGAGTGGGGCGGGGCGGGGAGCACGGCCGGGAGGTGTGGCCGCCGCTTTGTGTCAGCTGCACGAGCGAGTGTCCTGTGTCTGCCATGGGGAGCGCCCACTGCCCGCCCTCCTCTGTCCTGCTGCCGCCCAGCCTGGGCCCTGGACCCTCCAGGCTCCGGGGCCCCTACTGCAGGGTATGCCTGGCGGGGTCCTGGCCGCCTCTTCTGCCGGATTGTTCAGGCTGCAGTACCGGAGGGCTGGAGCCAAGGACTGTTGAGTTTGCCAAGCGCGGCCAGATGGAGCCGGGGATCCCCCGATGGAGGAGGATAAACATGTGCTCCAAGAAGATGCGGGGCCTGGAGCCGGGGGTGGGACAGTGGACAGGGAGGCTGCGAGCAGCTCGCTGTGTCACTGTTCACCTGAGATGTGGTGGCGCAGCCCCATCCCCACCCCAGCCGGGCCTGGCTCCTTGCCTTAGTGGACCGGGCAGAGGTGCAAATGCCCAGGGGCGAGCCTCCCTCCCCCCACCTTGGGGGGCACAGATGGAGATGACCAGCCATGGCATCTCTCCAAGGGTGGTAGGCGGGGCCTCCAGGGATTGGGGGTGGGGGATGCCCTCTTCACTAAGGCAGGCGGCTGGGGCTCCCTGTGTCCAGTTAGGCCTTTGACCCTTCCTCTCCCAACCAGTGGGGCCCGCGGTCCAGAGAGTTGTGACTTTGCAGTGTGCCTCCCTGGCCCGCGCGGCCGCCCCCTTACCTCCAGTCATCCTCTGCGCACGGCCAGTCTCAGTGTTCTAAAACCACGCCACTCCACGACAAGTATTTAAATGCTTGCAGTGTGTGAGAACCAGAGTTAAATTGAGCAAAACAAACCCTGTGCAGTTCACAGCTGGGAAGACGTCACACAGACCGTTACAAACTGATACGTCCCATGGAAGAAGCCTGTGTGACTGGGACTTGTCTATAGATCAGGGAGGACTTCCTGGACGGGGCAGCCTGTAAGCTGGGGCTGGAAGAACAAACAGGGATACGAGGGGTGGGTAAAGGCTGGGGAGAGATGCTGAGACTGGAGGGAGGCAGCTTGCTCCAAGGTCTTCCAGGAAGCCGCCGAGAGTACCGCGCGCCCAAAGCTGAGGAGGGAGGCAGCACCAGAGAGGGGAGACTGTGGCATCTGACTTGTCACACAGCCGGGGAGCCAGTGCCTGGTTCTGAGCGTGAAGGTGATACGTCAGGGACTGTTTAAATGACCACCTAGTAATAGAGGTGGGTGGGCAGCTCAGGGAGGACGAACCCGTGAGAGGAGTCTCTGCCTCTGGACAGACTCCAGAGGGAGGTTAGGCAAAGCCGAGGGAGCGTGAGTGTGAATTTGGCAGGAGGAAAGAGCAGAGTCATAGCCACGCCTGATGCAGGAGCGGGGAGGCGGGTGCCCCTGGGGGAGCCAGAAGAGGCTGCGCTCAGGAGGAAGTAGCCTGCATTCTGATAAGGCCTGTTGGGTTTTTAGTGCCTTTGAAGCTGTCAAGAGGCCTTAAGTGATTGGAGCGCAGAGGCCGGAGAGGGAAGTGGGAGAGTTATCTGCAGAGGGCCCCGGCCTGAAGCCAGGACCACGAGGTGATACAGCAGCTACGGCCCTGGCAGGACATGTCCAGGGCCGGTGCTGGAGGAGCTCAGTACTCAAACGTCCAGAAGTGGACGGCCACTAGCTTGGTGTGGGGGGGCCAGAAGAAGCCCGCCCGCAGAGGCCGAGAGGAGACGAGGGAGGAGCCGGCAGCTCCTTGCTTCCCAGCAGACAGGGAGGGAGACTGAGTCAGCTGAGGTGTCAGCCCCCAGGAGTGGTCACCGAGGACGTCAGGAAGACCTGAGTTTGATGGGGTCAGATTCCAGATTACAACAGCTAGAGGAGGGCGCCAGCATCGCAGGGAAGCCCACAAATGAGGGAGGGAGCTGTAGTGCCAAGCAGAGAGGAAAACTTACGACTAGAAGCTTGAGCAAATTTGGCAAAGGGAAAGACATTGATCTTTTTCGGGGTCCAGTAGAAGAGGAAGGCAGCAAATCAGGTGTGCGGATGGGGCGCTGGAAGGTGGTCTGAAGGGTGCCGGAGCAGAGGGTGAATGTGATGGTCCTGGAGAAACCGCAGACTCTGGGGCCTTGTGTTTAACCCCAGGCAGGGTGGGTAGAGTGCTGCTGTTCGCGTGTGCTGCCCTCTGAGCTATACCTTGCCAGCGCCCGTGCCCAGGCTGCCCAGCTGACTTCCCACGTGCAGGGGTGGGGCACTAGCTCGTCCGAGTTGACGGGTTCAGAAGCCTGCAAGGGTGCCGTGCCCCAGGAAGCGCCATAGCAGAACTGTTCGAGGTGTGAGGTGGGAGCCGGAACCGAGGGGCAGGATCCTGCAGTTTTTTCCACCTGATAGTATGTGAGTGCCCCCGGCCCCACTCCTCAGGACTCCCCTCTCCCTTCCTTGGCCTAGGCTTTTGGTTTTCTCATCCCTCCCTCCTGCTCTGTGCTGGCCACTGACACCACAGATGAGCAAGACGGTTCCCACCTCCAAGGAGCTCACAGACTGCTGGGGCAACATACACAGGGCTCAAGTTGGTGTCCAGAAATCTGGTGGGCCTCACCCCCAGTAGCCCATGAGGCAGAGGCGGGAGGAGGCTCAGGTATCTTCTCAGACACTTGCAGGACAGTGGGGACGGAGAGAGCAAGGGTGCTCGCTGCCTGGGCAAAGGTGGTGATGTGTGACCGTGTGAGATGTGACCGTGGTGAGGTGTGACCGTGGAGAGGTGTGACCGTGGTGAGGTGTGACCGTGGTGAGGTGTGACCGTGGTGAGGTGTGACCGTGGTGAGGTGTGACCGTGGAAAGGTGTGACCGTGGTGAGGTGTGACCGTGGAGAGGTGTGACCGTGGAGAGGTGTGACCGTGGAGAGGTGTGACTGGTGAGGTGTGACCGTGGAGAGGTGTGACTGGTGAGGTGTGACCGTGGTGAGGTGTGACTGCCTGTTGAGGTGCTTAGGTGTGGCGGAGCTCAAGTGCCAAGGGGTGTGGTTTGGTAGCAAGATGAGAGAGGAAGCAGGGCCTGGAGCCCAGGAAGAATTTACCTTTGCTCAAGGATCACTGGGAGCAGGGGAAAGGCTTAGGACAGAGTAGTAATATGGTCCGATTCTAGAAAGATCATTCTGGCTGCCATCATTCTGGCCTAGTTGGAGGTGTCCAAATAGCAGACAGGGAGGCTGCAGTGGGCCAAGAGGGAGGGAAATGCTCGTAGCCCGGGCTTGGGCAGCTGGGAGGAGGTGGGGGAGAGAACCGCTGGGCTGAGAGCGCAGTGCGGGGTCCTCTTCTGAGGACAAGAGACGGGCGCTCTCACCCCGGCCAGCACTTACAGATACACACTCTGTCCGTCCCACAGATAGGCGAGCTTGAAGAAGCAGGTACACAGCGTGAGCTTGCTGGCAGCTGATAAGGGGAGGAGGCAGAGGAAGGAATCTAGGGGGATTCCAGTTGCAGCTTTGAAAAAGTGGGAAGTGCTGTCCCTGAACCCCAAGCGAGGAGTTTGGGACATTTGTCAGGGGACCTTTGTGACGTCGGAGCAGAGTTGAGCCTGCAGAGTTAGGCCTGCACGGAAATGGTGTTGGAGCCTATGGGTATGGCCAGCCTGCCACTGCCATGCACAGGGAGCGTGAGGGAGATTGAGCCCTAGGAGCCAGCATCTGGGGCTGCAAGGGAGAGCCTCGAGCCAAGGCAGAGAAACAGCCAGTGGGCAGGGGAGAAGCAGGGGTCCTCTGGGCAGAAGTGGGGGGGGGTGGTCTCAGAGCTCAGGACAGGCAGGGGGCAGGATGGCCACAGCACAACTGGCGCAGAGAACAGGGGTCACGGTCAGGCCTTCCTAGGGCCACGCTGGCCTGGAGGGGTGAGGGGGAAGAGAGGCAACAAGCCCAGGGAGAGGCCCGCTTTTCCACATCTTGTTCGTGAAGGGGCCTCTGGGAGAACCAGTGGAGGGAGCTGCGGGCTTAGTGTTGAGAAATGAAGTCTTTTTTTTTTTTAAGATTTTATTTATACAAGAGCTGGGGTACAGGCCATATGTGTGTGAGGGTGAGAAGATTCACCAGAGACAGAGCGGGGAACAGAACAGGCAGACTGATGAAACACACTGCTGAGGGGAGCAGCGGGCAAGACAGGAGAGGTCTGCTCACCATGTGGGTTACTCCGAGCCTGCGGGGATCGAACCAGTGCTGCAGAGGCTGCGGACAGCTTCACAGTGCTGTGCTCAACCACCTGCACCACCAGAGAGGCCCTGAGAAATGAAGTCTTTCAGCGCATCCTAAATTTTTCCATTTCCAATCTTGATTTGATTTGATTTGATTTGATATATTTTTACATCATTTTTCATTTTTGCACCATGTATGCATCTTCATCTTGCATCTTCATATGCATCTTCATATAATTCCCACCCCCCTTGTTTTGATCCTATTCCCTTCTCTCCCTGCTGTAGTGTGTCTCTGGTTTATAGTTACTTGTTGATTTTGATTTTTACTTTATTATAACTAGTCTTTTTCCTGGTCCCTTATTTAGGTTTTCTAAATTCCTGCTATGAGTGAGACCATCCGGTATTTTTCTTTTTCTTTCTGGCTTATTTCGCTGAGCATGATCCCTTCCATGGAAAGGTGTGTGGAGATCCCTCAACCTGCTAAAGATGGAGCTTCCATATGATCCAGCAATTCCACTCCTAGGTATTTACCCAAAGGACACAGAAACATTAATTCCAAAGAGCACCTGCACCCCTATGTTTATAGCGGCACTGTTTACAATAGCTAAGCTTTGGAAACAACCCAAATGCCCAAAAATAGATGACTGGATCAAGAAGATGTGATACATACATATATTATATACAATGGAATATTACTCAGCAATCAAAAAAGATAAACTCATCCAACCTTGATTTTAATTAATTTGTAGTGCTCCACTAACTTCATCCTGCTGGAGACTTACAAGCACAGTAAAACCTCAGTCATCCAGAATTCTTGGCAAAGGAGCCACTCGAACACCAGCATTTATTTGGATGAAAATATTTGAAATATAGGACTTCTTACTTCGGTAAAGCTTTTTATTATGGAAATTATAAAGCATACAAAAGTCGAGGAGGATAATGCACCCCTGCCCTCACCATCCAACGGTAGCAGTTACCACCTCAAAGCCAGTCCCAAACCATCTACACCCAATCCCCCAAACTCTGGGCTGTTTGGAAGCAAATCCTAGGCATTCTAGCAACTTATCCATAAAACTTCAGCTTTTTCTCCAAAAGAGGAGCATTTAAAACCCATTACCACAATACCATATTACTCCGAAAAATATCAATAATTCCTTAATTTGATCAAATGTCCATTGTTCAAATTTCCCCAATTTTCTCAATTTCCCCCCAACTTGGTTAAAATTTAGCCCCAGCCAAGGCTTGCACGTCTCACTGCTGTGCCCCGCCCCTCAGGGTTCCCATCCCTTTTCTCACATGTTGGGAGAAACACGTTGCTTGGAGGCAGGAGTGTTGGGACATAGGGGAGCACTGAGCGCCCTAGGAGCGTGCCAGGGATGGATGGGTGGGTGGCGGCCAGACAGCCCGTCTGCAGGCGGGCTAGCATCTTTGGGAAGGAGGCAGGATGTGGAGGCCCGTTTGGAGCGGGCCCACAGCCGCTGGGGCTGCGGGAGGGTTGGGGGGGGCCTGTGTGAACAGGAGCGGAGCTCAGGTTCACGCTGCCCTGAGCGGGGGCGGGGCCCAGGCCTGGAGTCAGGTTGGGAAGGAACAGGATGTCTGTGCGGGGAGGGAGGCAGAGGACAGTGCCAAAGACCTGCTCCTGGCAGATCCCCAGCGCCTCCCCACCCGCCCAGTCCCCAGAGGCCCTCCCTAGCCTCCCAGCTACAGATCCACGGGGGCTGGACTCCAGATCCCTTCACCATGCCACTCGTGGTCAGTGGCTCTGATCTCTTGCTCTGCCTCCTCCTCCTGCTCCTGCCCCCCCACAACTCTGAGAGGGACCGTCCTCCTCAGCGAAGGTTCGAGTACAAGTTCAGTTTCAAAGGACCAAGACTGGCATTGCCTGGGGCTGGAATACCTTTCTGGAGCCATCACGGAGGTGAGGGATTGGGGGGGGCGGGCAGCCATGCCCGGGGGCCGGAGGGGCTGGAGGGAACCCTCTGGGTGGCTGTGATGTGGGGAGGGGGCCAGCCTCTGCCCAAGAAGGCACCAGGCCTGACAGGCAGTCCCAGGGGCCCCAAAGCCCTTCCCAGGCTTGTTTCCCAATCCACACCCCCCTCCACACACACGTCTCCCCCACCCACCGGCCTCAGTTTCTCCTCTCTGCCGCTCTCCTTCTCTGCCCTGGGACTTCTCTCTTTTCCTTTTGGCTCTCCTTGGACCCCCTCCATGTCCTCTATCTCTTGGACGGATGGACACACACACATGCTCAGGTCGAGTCGCAGACTCACAAGACACAGGGCCCCTGGGGCCAGCCCACGCCTCCACTCTCCTGGCTCCGTGCCGGGGGCTTGTGGTTCTCCATGCGAACAGGGGGCTGCGGGGAGGCAGCATCCTCTTGGCCAGCTGTTTCACCAGTGAGGGCACCAACCCTCCCCCAGATGTGTGCTGGGAGGAAGCAGGTGTAAGAACATCTTAGCCACAAAGAGGCTGTCTTTTATTTGAGCTTGTTCAAAAAAGATCTTTGAGGACGTGCAAGGCCCTGTGCCACAGAGAAGAGCTTAACTTCGGAGGAAGAGAACGAGACTTAGGGTTAGCCTCATGGCATGAAATGAGTCCAGGAACATAGCTCACTGCCAAAACACATGCCGTGAGGTCTGCCCACCCTGCAGAGTTGGGTCCCAGACCTGGAGCAGAGCCTCCTAGGGTGCAGAGCAAACAGGGCAGGCCCGCTGTGCATTTCTGTCTCTGAGATGTCAGTTCTGAGAAGTGAGTTCTGAGAAGTGCTGTGATTCCTGGCTGGGACCAGAAAACTATCCCTTTAAGATGGCAGGCTGTGCCAGGAGGGTCTTTAGCCCAGTGGTCCATTAAAGAGTGACGGGAAGTATGCAAGGGAGGGGGCCGTTTCTCAGAGCGCCACGCCAGGCCCTGCCACACGCACCGCCCTGGGTCTTGCTAAGTCTGGGGTTTCATAGGCCATGTTTGAGGACCGACGTCTTCTGCAAGATCACGGTGATATGCTCGTGATCCTTTCATTCATGCATCCTTTAAGTAGATGCCCACGCCCCTGCCCCTCTGTGCCAGCCAGAGACACAGCCTGAGTCAGACTTAGGGGCGATGAGGACCAATGGCCAGCCCTCAGAAGGCCGAGCGCCCCGTGTTGTAGACACCGGGCAGCCTCGTCTCCTGCAAGTGGCTTAGGTGGAGGAGGTGGTGGCTGCCAAGGTCGCCAGGACTGCCAGACGGGCAGCCGCTGAGATCCCGCCCCCAGCCCTGGCCTTTGCAGAGCAAACAGCCTGGGTGAGCAATCTCCAGAACGTCCTGGCAGGGACTGGCTCCAGACCAGGTTCCAGGCTGGCAGGTCGGAGGGGTGGGGAGCCAAAGGGGTGGAGGCCCGGATCGCATTCCCCTGGGTCCTGCCAAGTTTGCCTCAGTTTCTCTCCCCTTCTCCCTCCACCCAGCATTACTGCAGTGAGAGTTCTCACGTCCTTCCTCACAGCCCTGCGGGCCCCCCCTGGTTTTCATGGTGTCCTCACCTTAGAACGCCCAGGTCCCTCCACCAGGAAGCCCCCAGCCTCCTGTGGCCATGCTGGAGCGTCCCTCCGCACATCACCCTTCCCAGGCCCTGAGCCTCCACGCGGCCGTGCTCCCCTGTGCTCTGTCTCCTTCCTCCTCCGGAGCCCAGGTCAATGGGAGAGAACCGTGGGGGTGACGGTGGGGCCCGTGCCCTGAGGTGTCCTGGTCCACAGATGCCATCCCAGGCCTGGAGGAAGTGCGGCTGGCCCCGTCTCTGCGGGACCGGAGCGGCGCCGTGTGGAGCAGGGCACCTGTCCCCTTCTCTGCCTGGGAGGTGCAGGTGCAGATGCGGGTGACAGGGCCGGGGCGCCGGGGTGCCCGGGGCATGGTGAGTGACCTCTACCGAGGCCTGACAGAGGGGGAGAGTCAGGGAGGTGGGCGATAAGCCTGGGATTCTGGTGTCCTACAGGGGCCCCCCAACTGAGCAGCTGGGGACCCACAGGTTGTATGGTACACCCGGGACAGGGGCCAAGTAAACTTCGGCCTGGGAGGTCAGGCCTCATGGGATGGCGTAGGGATCCTGTTCGACTCCTCAGCTGAGAATACCCTGGTGAGTACTGCCTCCCGCTGGCCTCCACCCACACCCTCATGCTCCCCTACGCCCCTGCTCAGGCTGCTTGTCACCCCCATACAGAACAGCCCTGCCATCCGCGTGCTGGCCAGTGATGGACACACCCTCGCCCAGTCACTCGGGTAAGGGCCCTCCCTGCTCCACTCCTGAGCTGTAAGGGGCTCTGCAGCTACCCCATATCCCCCCATGCGCCCCCACACCTTCCCACGGCCCCCCACGCCCCTGCCTCTGCTGGGCCTCTGACAGGGCGCCTCCCTCCCAGGGCTGTGCCTGCCATGCTGGCCTCGCATCTGGGCTGACAGCTACTTCTCCCCACCCCACACCCTTCCACTCAGTCCCAGCTCTGCCTCCTCCAGGCAGAGACCTGGGTTTGCTGACTCTTCCTAGGCGCCTCCTGCTGGGTCTTCGATTCAGTCAACCCAACAGCAACCACCCCCCTCCTGCCAGAGGCAGGAGTGAAACCACTCAGGGTGGGGCTCAGCTTGTTTTCATTCACATCACCTCATCTGATCCCCAACACATTTGCGAGGTTGCCATGATTAGTCCCCAACTACCGGTGAAGACATTGAGCCCAGAGAGATGGAGCGATGCGCCCCAGATCACACAGCTGCGGGCAGAGTTGTGATTCGGGCCAGCCTGGCGTTGGAGGCTCTCTGCCCTCCCACGGTGCCAGCTGTCTGCCTGCCAGGCCTTCCCTCTCTCCCAGATGACGTGGCTTCCTCCCCCAGCCCGCCCGCCCCCTCCCCGCAGCTGCCTCCTCAGCGGCCCGGCCAGTCCGGTGTCTCTCAGCAAACATCCCTTCGCTCGAACAATTAAAATAATTGCTAACATTTATGAGCGAAGCTTACTGTGTGCCAGGCACGGTGCCAAGCTCTACAGTCAGTGTCTTCGTTAACCCGCCGAACAGTGTTATGAGGTCATGTCAGTTATTGTGCTCGCTGTGAAGGGGCTGAGACGGGGCTTGTAAAGGTGAGGTAAGGCGCCCACGGTCACACGGCTGGGGGCCGATCGCGGCTGCTCTGGACCGGGCTTCTCCCTGCTCTGCTCTGTCCTCTGGGCGGAAGGCGGCGGGTGACAGGCGCTGCCAGGCCGTCTGCGTGTCTGCGCCTGGAGAGCGCTCTCTGGCTCAGTCCTCTTTTCCCACCGCCCCAGCCCCCGCTGGGCCCGGCCTGTGGCGGAGGGGGCTGCTCGCGTTGCCCTTGGCCCCTCGAGGCCCCCCGGGTCCGCCCTGCCCTGCGGGCAGCCCAGGCGTGGCCGGCAGAGGAGAAAGAGCAGCGATACCAGAGGCGCGGGGGTCTGAGTTCAGGGGTAAGAGGGGAAGGGACGAACAGTGAGGGACCTGGAGGCAGAACCTCCCCCTGGGGTAGGATCGCAAGGAAGCCCCACCTTTGATTCCATGAATTTCGAGTCCTCCTCCTATCTCTTTACAAGAAGCCAACTGCAGCCAGACCCTGGAGCTAGACCACAGGGACATGTGCCCTCCCTCGTCACCCAGCGGGGGAGGTGGCACTGCAGGCTGGGCGGGACAGCCTGTGACAGCCCCGCAGCCAGGCCTCGGCCGCATGGCCCTGCTGACCTCCAAGTGCCCACAGGGGCGGGGCCAGCCGGGCGCTGGGCTCCTGCCACCAGGACTTCCGGAACCGGCCGCACCCCTTCAGAGCGCGGATCACCTACTGGGGGCAGAGACTGCTCGTGAGTCCTCCCTGCTGCTTTCGTGGGTCCCCTGGAGAAGGTTACAGGGCTCAGAGCTACAGAGGTGCCATGTGGGTGCCCGTGACCCCACAGACCGACGCCTGTGACGCAGCACGGGTCCCCAGCACGTGCCGGTCCCCTAACGTGGAACCCACCTCCCCACACAGTCCTGACCTGCCCAGACCAGGCAGGTGTGCGGGCGGCTGTGGCTGTGCGGGGCGAGGCCCACACCCCTCCTCTGACACCTGTCCTCCTCTAGGGCCTGGGGGGCCAGAGAGTCAGATGGGGAGGGTACACACCCTGCTGGGTCAGGGCTTACTGGGGGCTCCATCTGCAAGGGGCTCCTTCCCTCTACAACCCCCCAAGGTGTCCTTGAGCAGCGGTCTGACTCCCAGTGACCCAGAGGAGCTCTGTGTCGACGTGGGGCCCCTACTTTTGGCCCCTGGAGGTTTCTTTGGAGTCTCAGCAGCCACCAGCACACTGGCAGGTAAAAGCAGATGAGGGGAACACAAGGAACCATCCTGAACACCCCTCCCGAGGAACACGGGGTGTGAGGCCTGCCCCTCCTCACCCTGTGACCCTGGCAAGCGCACCCTCCGTGGCCTCTGTTACCATCCGGGGGCGCGCCTGCTTTGCAGCGTCACTGAAAGTCTCAACTAGGACAAGACACACAGGGGGCCCTGTAAGTGCCCCCTAGGAGCCGTGGGGAAGTGGGGAGCAGAGACGGTCACGTGGGACAGTCAAGGAGGGGGCGAGGGGGACGTGACTCGGTGGCAAGCCTGCGGAGGAACCCATATCTGAAAACGGGCAGCGCCAGAGGGTGGGAGAACCTGAACGTCAGCGCTCTGGTCTCTAGACTCTGGGCCCTGGGGAGCCATGGGAGGTTTCTGCGGGGGAGACTGGCAAGGTCAGAGTCACGCTGGGGAGCAGGCCGTGCCTCGTTGCTTCTCTGTGACCAGCCCAGGACTGTCCAGCGTTCCCACTCGCCGGGGCCCGCTCTGGCTGCGTGGGGTCAGGCCTCGCAGGCGGTCCGTAAGCCTGCGTGAGCCCCACGCCTTTCCCCTGAAGTGAGTAGGGGGGTGGTTAGAGCTGCCCAGAGCTGCCCACGGCTCTTATCTGCCTGACGCGGATTGGAGCCAGAGGGTGAGGGTCGAGTGAGGGGCTGCTGGCGGCGGGGCTGGGGCCTTAGCTTCCTTCTCTGCCCCCTCCCTCCCCCTTCCAGATGACCATGACGTCTTGTCCTTCCTGACTTTCAGTCTGAGTGAGCCGGGCCCAGAGGTGATGCCAGCCCGGGACCCACCTTGAAGGGAAGGTGGGGGGAGAGAGCCCAGGGCCCTTCTTTCCCAGATGCTTCTGTTCGTCGTGGTGCCAGAGCTGACATGGCGGCTGGTACCTCCACCTGCTCCCGATCTCTGCTCGGGACAGGCCTGGGGCTGGACAGTGCCAGGGGGCAGAGGAGGCCCAGAGCCAGGCCCTGTCCTCAAGGACTTTGCAGGCTGGCTGGAGGCTGCGGGAGCACAGAGGGAGCCTGGGGGGCTGCCTGGAAGAAGCAGCTGGCCAGACAAGGGCGAGGGAGGGCCTGGGGGCCTGAGGAGGGCGGGTGTGGGTGTGGGGTGTGCGGAAGGCAGTGCGGCGGGGCTGGGAGGATCAAAACTGCAGGTCAAAGGCTGAGCTGCGAGAGAAGCCGCTGGGAGGGTGGCCCTGGCTGGGATTGAAGACCGTCAGGAGAGGGACCGGGCCCAGGCACCCTGTGGGAAGGCTGCCTTCTCCCCCAGATCTCCCACAGCTCTCAGTCTGAGTTCTTGTCCTCCCCCTCCAGGCTTCGCCGCAGCCCTTGTTGGAAAAGGAGCAGCTCCGCCTGGCGAGCCGGCTGGAAGGGCTGCGGGCAAGGCTGGCCCTGGGCTCCGAGGAGGACACGATTCCAAAGCTGCATTCTGAAGCCCAGGAAGCGGGTAGGGCCCCAGTGGGCAGGCAGGTGGGCAGAGGCCTGCTTGGGCCTCTGGATCCTCTACCCTTTGGGCCAGGAGTCCTTTAACCAGTAGGGAGGAGGTTAAGGGGCCCTGTCTAAGCACCCCGGGACAGGTGGTCTGCCAGGTATCTTTACGGGGGGAACCATGCCTTTCTGCCCCCTCTGAGAACCTCCCACACCAGCTAGGAGCCCATCCCAGCTCTACCCTACCCCTAGGGGAAAGGGTCTTCCACCTGGAGGAGACCCTGGGCAGACACAGCCAGATCCTGCAGACACTCCACGGCCTCTCCGAGCAGCTGGTGCAGGCTGTGGGGAAATGGAAGCAGCAGTTGGGGGCCCCACACCAGATCAGGCCTGGAGAAGCCTGGGTGAGTCACCCCTCGGCATCCCAGGCCCCATCTGCAGGCCCGGAGAGGCAAGCTCCCTGGGCACGCTGTTGGCACCCGTGGGCTCCCTCTGCCCAGAAAGAGGAGCAAGCGCTACAGCTGGGAACTAGCCCCCCAAGATTGGAGGTCACTGGAGGAGGACCTGGCAAACAAAGGAACAGGCGAGGGTAGCTCTGTACAAGCAAGCACTCCAGGAGAGAGCCAGGGACTTGGGTGCAGGTCTGTGGACGAGGGAAGCAGCAGACCGGGAGCAGGTCTGCACGTGCTCCACACGGGGTTCACTGCACACACGGCGTGATTAACGCTCAGGTGCCCCAGAGTCCTCGTCTCCTCTCAATGGCCATCCTGGCCTCCCCCAGCGGAGTGATGTCCCAGGGCGGGCCCAGCCTGGGGCCTGACAGCTGAACTCAGTCAAGTCGCTAGATGCTGAACAGAGGGGCTCCCGTGGGCTCTGCCGGGTCCCATGAGCCCTCAGGCCAGAGCAGCTGAGGCTGGGCTGCTGGAAGGGGGAGTTGGAGGGGGGGTTGCGGGAGTCGGGGGCTGGACGCTGCTCTCCAAGCCTAGGCGTCCCTCATCCCATTTCCAGGCCCAGATCCCCCACCCCAAAGAGGGGCCCGCCTCTCCTGGGCACCCAGCATGGCAGGGCCCAATCCGAGGGAGGTAGGGAAGCGTGAACTGCCCAGGGCCACTGGGGTGGGGTTGGGGGAATGGGGCGGGGTGAGGTGGGGGAACAGCCATCCTCAGAGAGAGGGAAAACCCAGATGACCAGGGCTCCGGGAACACAGTGTGTCCAAAACGAGGAGGGCCAAGGTCATCCGCTACGGCCTTCTGGAAGGAAGAGGGGGCAATGTCCCTGGGGAAGGTGGTCTTTAGGGTGGGCCCTAGAGAAGAGGTTGGCACTCCTGTAGGACCCTGCCAAGGTCAGCACCCTGCTCCATGGCCAGCGGACTCTGCTCCAGGACCTCCAGGAGATGAGGTAAGGGAACAGGGCGCTGAGGGGTGTTGGGGCGGGGGACAGGGGAGAACAGCGCCCCTGACTGACTTGCTTCTCCGCCTGAAGTTCCTCTCTAAGCCCCTTGCTTCTCTCATTGGCCCCTGAGCACCCAGCGCAGAGCCTGGCGCGTAGGGAGGGGCTGGGGGCCGAGTCACGTTTGCTGAGTTGACCCAAAATTAACTGAATCAAATGAAGTCCTACTTAAAAGCAACCCTCCCCGGGAGACCCCTCCCCAGTGAAATCCCCAGCAGACACCCAAGAAAGTTTAGTAAATGTGAGGCTTCCTTCAGCGACAGTCCCTGGAAAGAGCCTTTGAAGGGGGGGTTCTTGGAAGGAGCACAAGCAGGACGAGGCCCAGGAGGAGGAGTGGCCCCTGACTTCACACCCCTTACCCCAGCACCCCAGTCTAGGCCACTACGCACTTTGGGAGCCACCCAAAGAATGCTAGCACCCCGGGGGTGGGGGGTCACCGAGATGCCAAGGAAGAGGGCGGCTTCAGGCTGGATGCCGGGGACCTGGCTGATGCGCCCGCGTCCACATGCCTGGGGGGGTACGCTGGGCAGAGGGAGAGGAGGCGCGTGCCCTGGAGGCCAAAGAATGGAGACTGAGCCCAGTTGCTGGGGCCGAGGCAGGCAGCTGCAGGGACAGCCTCATCTGAGCTAAAGCGGCCTCGAGATCAGCTGTCTCAAGATCTAAGACGACCAGCCCAGGAAAGGAGGGTGCCCCCCCAGGTGCTGTCCAGGGATTATAAGAGATGGCGCGATCAGAAGGGTAACGGCTGTCCCTCCTGCCAGGGACGCAGCTGCCCACATGGCCTCAAGAGCCCATGTCTTCTACTTACCTGTGGGCACCAAGCACCATTTCTTAGAGCTGGCCCAGATCCTGAGCCACCTGCAGAAGGAACTTAGGGGCCCGGTGGTAAGGGGGATTGAAGGGATACGGTGGGGACTCTGGGTGGACCGCGAGGTGAGGACTCCACCTCCTTCCAGCACATCTGCCATCGCAGGCCCCTCCTGCCATGTCCCTCCCCTGCCAGGAGCCCTGGCGAGCACGCCTGTGTGTCTGTGTGCACGCGCATGCACGCAGAGATGCAGACCTCACCTTCTCTCTGCCCTTTCTGCCTTCTGCAGAGTCCCACGGGCTCTCAGTGCCAGAAGGGAGGGCCCTGGGGACCACTTGGTCCAGACCCCTCATTGGGCAGAAAAGAAATGGGAGTGGGCTGTGCCCAAGGTCATTCAGCACTTGGTGGTGGGGTCTGCTCCCCAGATCTGATTCTTTCCTTTGCCCTCCACAACACCTTGTCTGGCTCTCTAACTCTCATCTCTGGAGCCTTTGGTCCCCCAACAACCCAGCCCCAGGCCTCCCCAGCTGCTCCCACAGATGGCGCCATGGGAACTGGGATACGGCAGGCAGCTCGGTGCTCTGCGCCCTCCCCAACACCCTGCATGAGAGCCAGGGTGCCCCCAGCCTGGGAGGGGGAGTCCAGGTCTCCTTCCTCCTCTGGGCAAGAAGCTAACGTAGGACCTTAGACTGTGCCTTTTCAGAAAGCAGCAGCCAAGGGCCCCCGCCCACCAGGCCGGCTCCCAGGGGCCTCCTCGTGCCTGCAGCCTGGCGTCTTCCTCTTCTTCCTGCTCCTCCAGACCGCAGGCTTGTTCTGCTACGTGCACCTCAGGTGGGCCTTCTCATGGGCACGACATCTCACATCTACCTGGCATCTCTTGCTTCTAGGCCAACGCATCTGATTTGAGAGAAGGGGCACAGAGGCCTAGAGGATGGGGGAGGTCCTGCTTGGCCACCAGCCCACTGGCGAGGAGCAGAGCCCAGGCTAGGACCTATTTTTCTGACAGGCTCTAATTGCCATCTGCTCAGCCAGGAGTCCCACCTGGGTCCCGCCCTCACAGAATTCACTCTCTCTGTAAGAAGCTGACAGTGACTGGCGGCCACACCCTGCACAGGCAGTGCCGTGATGGCAGGAAGCTCAGGAGCTCTGAGAGCACTTGACTCAGTTTGGGGACATCAGGGAATTAGCCTAGAGGGGACACTGGATATGGGTTATCCAGTCAACTAGTTCTCCAGCCTGGCAAGAGAAGGAAAGGTAGGGATGCAGAGGAAACAGCATAGAAAAAAGCACAGAAGCATGGCCAAAGTATATTTTGGAGAGAAACTGGCAAGTTTGGCACCATCAGAGCAAAAGGTGGGGCCAGTTTCTGAAACTGGGCAAAGATAAATGAAAACATGGGGGAGTCGCTCTTTCTGCTTGGTATTTGCAAAATGAATGCAACAAATCCAGAAGTAGGGGTGGACTAAGGGTCTCAGAAATGGGACTAGCCGTTCATGTTTGTAAAATTTCAAGACAAGAATCAGTGTGGTCTGCGGGCGCCATGGAAGAGGAGTGAAGGGTGCTGAGCTTTCAAGGCAGAGCAGGAGAGGGGGCGGCTCCAGGGGAGGAGACAGCAAGGCGCAGATGGATCTGACAGGCTGAGCTGCTGCACCGTGCAGAGTACAGGTGGCTGCGAGACTGCAGTCGCCCGGACAGACGCGAATGCCAGGGGGAAGGCGAGGTCCTAAGGAGGCAGGTGAAGGGGACAGTAGAATGTCCTAGGGCAGAGGAGGTGGTGAGTGAGTGCGGGCAGGTGAGCGTGGGAGCCTGTGCTCAAGGGCCCAGAAGGGAGAGGCCCAAGTAACCTTTTCCTCCTCTCCCTGGCAGCAGGCAGGATCCGGACATGAGCCTTCGGGACTATCTGGCCACATGCCGCCTGCCTCTGAGTTCCACGCCACAGATCACCAGAGCGCTGGGGGCTCTGAGGAGGCAGCCCTTCTCCTCCAGCTTGCGAGCGTGACACCCCCCCCCCCCCAGCAAAGCTCTGAAGGAACCCACTTCTCATCACTGGGAAGTGAATGGGGTCTGAGTGTAGGGGTGTGGCCAGTATGCTTGTCCTCTAAGTGCCCAATTCCTAGCCAAACCCAGCTTTTGGAGGGCTCCCATCTTATTAAAGGTGATTTCTGGGCCTCCCTGGTGGCACAAGAGGTTAAGCACTGCACTATGAAGAAATGCATTGCCTCTGCAGCACGAGTTCGATCCCCTGGCCAGGGAGCAACCCACATGGCGCAGCAGACCTCTCCTGTCTCCCCGCCACTCCCCTCAGCAGTGTATTTCAGTCAGTCTGCCTGTTCTGTTCCCCGCTCTGACTCTGATGGATCCTCTCACCCCCTGCACCTCTGGCCTGTACCCCAGCTCTTGTATGCATAAATAAATAAATCTTTTAAAAAAGTACAGGTGGTTTCCCTTTCCCCATGGTTTGATATGCTCATATGCCTTCTAGTTTCCCCGTAATCTCTCCGAAGTCTTCCACCTCCTCTGGGTAGATACCCAGGAGCGGGCACCAAGCCCGCAAGGAGGTCAAACGCCCAGATGCTCCACAGCTTTCAGCCCTAGACTAGAGCGCAACAGGCAGCCGCAGCCGTGTGTGATTCTGCCTCCAACCCGAGCAAGGAGCGGCGTGTCTAGGCGCCCTGTCTCCAGCCGAAGTCCAGGCCCAGGAGACAAGGAAGAGAGGAGCGCCGGGTTCTAGGCATCAGCTCAGTCCCTTCCTCCGGGCACCCCCGCATGCCCTCATCCCCGGGCAGCAGGGCCCCACAGCCTGGCATGGCGGGAGGCACGTGGGGGAGCGGGCGCCGGGGCAGGCACGTGTCCTGCAGGTCAGCCGGGTGTTCGCTTCCCGCCCCGCGCGGAGGGGCTGGCGGGGCGGGCCCTGGGGGCGGACCCCTGGGGGCGGGGCTGGCCCTGGGGGCGGGGTGGGGTGGGCCCTGGGGCGGGGCGGGGTGGGCCCTGGGGGCGGGGGCGGGTCCTGGGGGCGGGGCGGGCCCTGGGATCGGGGAGGGGTCGGGCCTGGGGACGGGGGCGGGGCGGGCCCTGGGGACGGGGGGCGGGGCGGGCCCTGGGGGCGGGGCGGGGGCGGGTCCTGGGGGCGGAGCGGGCCTGGGGGCGGGGGCGGGGCGGGTCCTGGGGGCGGGCCCTGGGGACGGGGGCGGGGCGGGCCCTGGGGGGCGGGGGGCGGAGCGGGCCCTGGGGCGGGGGGCGGGGCGGGTCCTGGGGACGGGGCGGGGCGGGCCCTGGGGGGCGGGGGGCGGAGCGGGCCCTGGGGGCGGGGCGGGCCCTGGGGCGGGGGGGGCGGGTCCTGGGGGCAGGGCGGGCCCTGGGATGGGGAGGGGTCGGGCCCTGGGGACGGGGGCGGGGCGGGCCCTGGGGGCGGGGCGGGCGGGCCCTGGGGGCGGGGGGCGGGGCGGGCCCTGGGGCGGGGCGGGGGCGGGTCCTGGGGGCGGGGCGGGCCTGGGATCGGGGAGGGGTCGGGCCCTGGGGACGGGGGCGGGGCGGGCCCTGGGGCGGGGCGGGGCGCGCCCTGGGGGCGGGGCGGGCCCTGGCCGCGGCGGGCGCTGTCCGCAGGTCCTGGTGCTGAAGTAGTCCCCGCCGGTCCTCACCCAGCGCCCGCGCGGAGGCCATGGCGTTTGCGGTGAAGACCCTGGTGGGTGGCCGGCTGAAGACTCTCACCGGGAGCCTGGGGGTCGGAGAGGACACGGGGGACGGGGGCAAGTCTGTGGCTGAAGCGCAAGGCATGAACCGGGAGGAGCAGGAGTATCAGAAGCAACTGGTGGAAGAGAAGTAAGTGGACCCCTTCCCAGCTCCACGAACTTCCCGAAACATGGCCTTGCCCGTCGCTAGGGTCGTCTCGGACTCTGAGCCCGTAAGCGTCTGCGATGTGCCCTCTAGGCTGACCCCAGGGTCACCCCCTCTCAAACCCAGGACCTTGCTGCAGCTTCACGCTTGGGCTGAGAGTGAATGCGGGCAGCGGAGGTAGGCGCGTGGGATGGGTTGGGGGCACGGGCATTCTGATGAAACAGTAATCCCTTAATCCGATCTGGCTCCAGCCTGTGTCTTCCAAATGGACTTTCTCTAAGCTTTAGACTCTGAGAAACACTGTGCAGCTGAGGGGCTCGGAATCAAAGAGACAGCTCCTGAGATGGGGCATTCACAGATACTGAGGCTTCTTGTGTGAGGCAGTACAGAGGGAGAGAGGCAGCCCAGCTAGAGTAAGGGGCTGGACTCCAGGGGTAGGCTGCTTGGGTGCAGATCAAGGCTTTTCATTTTTTTTGCATAGGAGAGCTGGGGTGGGCCTCCCCGGTGGCACAGCGGTTGAACGCTGGGTTGCGAGGCTGTCCGCAGCCTCTGCAGCGCCGGTTCGATCCCAGTCTGCTCCCCGGCCACCGGAGGAGGGTCCCACATGGTGCGCAGACCTCTCCTGCCGCCCGCTGCTCCCCTCAGCAGTGTACTTCGGTCCTTCTGCCTGTTCTGCTCCCTGCTCTGGCTCTGGTGAATTCTCTCACCCTCCCGCGCTTCTGACTGTACCCAGTGCTTGTATAAATAAATAAATCTTTAAAAGAAGAAGAAGAAGAGCTGAGGTATAGGCCAGAGGTGTGGGGGTGGTGAGAGGATTCTCCAGAGACAGAGTGGGGAGCAAGCAGAACAGGAAGATTTACTGAAATCTCACCCTAAGGAGAGCAGCGGGTGAGACAGGAGAGGTTGGCTGCACCATATCTGGGTTAGCTCCCTGGCTGGGGATTGAACTCAGGTCATAGCAGTGATAGCACTGAGCCTTTAACCCCTAGGCTACCAGGGAGGCCTGGATTCTCCTTTTTTTTTTTTTTTTTTTAAGCTAGTAATCTCAGGCAAATTAGTTAACCTTTCTGTGCTTCAGTTTCCTCTTCTGTAAAATGGGAATAGTAATCAAAAACATGCCTTGGGCCTCCCTCATGATGCAAGGGGTTAAGCACCACACTGTGAAGCAATCCACAGCCTCTGCAGCATGAGTGTGATCCCCAGTAGCCAGGGAGCTACCCACATGGCACAGCAGACCTCTCCTGATTCATCCATTGCTCCCCTCAGCAGTGCATTTCAGTAGATCTGCCTGTTCTGCTCCCTGCTCTGTCTCTGGTGAATCCTCCCACCCCCACAACCTCTGACCTGTACCCCAGTTCTCATATGCGTAAATAAATCAATCTTAGAAAAAAAAAACAGTATGCCTTATATATTTATGAGGATTAAATTACTTAATGCAGATAAAACTGCTTAGCACAGCCCTGGCACATGGTAAATCATTACATATAATCATTATTATTTTACTTAATCCCAGTAACAGTTTGTGAATCATAAGAGCTCCCCATTTTACAAAAGGAGGAAAGTAACTTAGCTAAAGACCTATGGAAACTGGTAGCAGAGCCAGGGTGTGAACGCAAGTCTGTCCCCCACAATTTCCCCCATACCACACAATCCATTAGGGAGAGAAAAGAAAGCCCCAGGGCGGCCACAAAGGACTTATATTAGTGTCCAACAAGAGAGACAGAGTCCTCCACCCCATAGCTCCATCCAGCTGGGGGTGCAGAGAGGACAAGGGGCACTGACGGGGAGGCAGCGAAGGCTAGGTTAAGCCTCCTCCTGACACACAGGCCTCTTGGTCCTCACAACGACCGCCCCGGTGCCCCCTCAGGATGGAACGGGACGCGCAGTTCACACAGAGGAAGGCAGAGCGGGCCGCGCTGCGGAGCCACTTCCGAGACAAATACCGGCTGCCCAAGGTGAGCTTGGGGGGTGGGGGTGGCGCTGCGGATCCGAGCTCAGGTCCTGGTTAAACTGGTATCTGCTAGAACCCAGTGCTTGGCGCGAAGGGGAAACGCTTCCTCTGGAGACGGATAGGTTTGTATTTCTGGAGCCAGTCCAGTCCCTTCTCTCCTTCACACCCTCTGGCCATCCCTCCAGCCCTGGGGCAAGTCCAAGGAGATCAAGGGGTAAAGGCTGCTCATTTTGCAGCAGGGGTGAATACCCTTGGGGCTTCTGAATACTCAGGAAGTGGGAGGGGGGAGGGTTGTGGGTGAGAAGGCAGCACACCCTGTGTGCCAGGCACTTGGCCCTCCAGGCCCTCCAGGCACCCACTAACACTGCCGGGCAGGTTTTGCCCAAGGGAAGTGAGGTCTGGAGAGGTTACAGGGCTCAGCGGAGACAACACAGCCAGCAAGTGGGGCGCTCCAGCATGAGAGTGCCTGCTCTTGCTCCTGGAGCCCTGGCTGCCTTCCAGGGTAAGGAGCGCGCCTGCAGAGGGCAAAGTCGTCCCTTGGTTGCTTGAGCTGCCAGGAGGGTGCCCTCCCCCACCACCCCCACCCTGCCCCTGCGGCAGCATGTGCTTCTGCATGAAGCGCTCTATTTCAGTTGCCTAAGGAGGGAACTGAGGCACCAGCCACTCCCACTACTAGAGTGTGCCTTGGACCGCGCTAGACTCTGAGGGGGAGCAGAAGTGCAGGGCCAGGCCGTAGCACCCCTGACCTGTGCACACATCACACCCACTCACGCAACAGATGTGTGCTGAGCTCCTTCTGCCTCTCACTCCCCCGGGGCTGCAGACTTTTAGAAGCCCCATAAAGAGAAGGCGGGTCCAGAAAGTTGGCCTTTCTGCAGTTACGGAGCGAAGCAGGGAATGGAGTCGTTCCTCAAATGCTTACACCCTGCGTGTCAGAGACGCTGAGTCTGGCAGAAGGGGAAAGACTTGGCTGTGTGAAGTGGAAGGCCTCAGGCTCCCCAGAGGGACAGTGAAGTACAATGACCATCTGTAGCTATTGGACAAAGAGAGCAAAATTATTGGTGACGTCATTTAGATCTAACCCCCACTTGCTCGTTGCGTGACTTTGGGAAAGTTACTTAAGTTACCAGAGGTTCAACTTCCTTATTTGTAAAATGGAGATTAAAAAAAAAAAAAACCTGTCTCACGGGGTTCTTGAGAATGAAAGTACTCAGCTCGTGTCAGCCATATAATAGGGACTTGATGGGCCCTCCCTGGTGGCGCAGGAGTTAAAGACAGCGCTATTAAGCTATTGGCAGCCACTGCACCGTGAGTTCAATCCCTGGCCAGCCAGGGAGCTACCCACATGGCGCGGCAGACCTCTCCTGACTCACCCGCTGCTCCCCTCAGCAGTGTATTTCAGTCAGTCTGCCTGTTCTGTTCCCCACTCTGTCTCATGGCGAATCCTCTCACCCCCACATCTCTGGCCTGTACCCCAGCTCTTGTATGCATAAATAAATATTAAAAAAAAAAAAGAATCTAGGGACCTGGAGCCTGGTCTAGGCCTCCTCCCCGCCCACTAGACACTGGGTCTTCGCGGACCTCCAACCTCAACTATTCCTGCCCCGCTTCCTTTTAGAACGAGACAGACGAGAGCCAGGTCCAGACGGCAGGTGGAGATGTGGAGCTGCCCCCGGAACTAGCTAAGATGGTGGCCGAGGACACGGAGGAGGAGGAAGAAAGGGCCTCGGTGCTGGGGCAGCTGGCCAGCCTCCCTGGCTTGGACCTCGGCTCACTCAGGGACAAGGCCCAGAACACACTGGGGGACCTCAAGCAATCAGCAGAGAAGTGCCACCTCATGTGACCATCCTCCGGGGGTTGTCTGCCGGGGTGACTGGGGGGCTGGGCCCACCTGAGGGCTAGAGCGTAGCTCCCTCCCAGGGACCACTGCCCCATCTTGGCTTTGCTTCCCCTGTGCCACGAGAGTCCCAGGACCCTTCCCATGTAGGACCTAAGCTTGCCTTCTGCTTTCTCCTTCTCCTTACTTGTGAGGACCCATCGTCCCTGCTCAGCACTGGAGGGCGTGGTTTCCTATAATCCTATAATTTCCTATAATTCCTATAATCCTTCGATTATAGGAATAGACCTGTCTCTCCCTGGCCGTGGCCCCAAGTTCCGCACATGAGACACAGAGAGATGGAGAAAGCCTGGTGTGTCGGGGTTTACCACAGGTGTGTCCCAGCAGCACAGGCACAGCCAAGCAGCCAGCCCCCCTGGATGCCTTGCTCCCCTAGACACCGCCACTCAAATGTGCTCAGTGGGGACTCCGGGCAGGCACCCTCAGCATACAGGACGCCGAGAATTTGCGTCTCCAAGACTGTCCCTTCTGGGCCTCGTTTCATCATCTCTAAAATGGGGATGCTCTGGGGATTTCTAAGACTCAAGCTGGTCCTTCTTGGCCCTCGGAGCCAGCCCCTAGCCCCTCCTTGGGCAGGACAGCAGCTGCAGCTGTGGCCTCAAGCAACTGCCACTGTGCTGCAGACTCTGGCTCCTGGGAGCTGAGTTACGCTGGGTGAGGGCTGAGTGCCAAGGGCAAGGCTGGCGGCTCCCGGCCTGGTCTCGGCCCAAGCCCAGGCAATTTCTGTTCCGTTCCCATAGAGCTCTCTCTGGGTTCCCGAGCTTGGTCTCCTTTCTCAGCTCAGTGAAAAATAAAAATTTCAAACGTTGTATCTATCTTCCCACTTTTACGGAGATTTGCGGTTCACAGCCTTGGGGTTCACAGCCCCTCCCTGCAACCCTGCCTTTGCAGGAGTATCCTTAACCTCCTTACCTACTTCATGGGTGCTCCAGAATCTAGAAGATGTTCAAGCTCCACTCTCTCCGGGCCCTGGGACTAATGGAGCGCCAGGGCCACCCTAGGCCCAAGGAGCATGTGGCAACCAGTTGGATGGGGATGCATCTGGGAAGGCACCCCTCTGGACCCCTAACTGAGGACCCTGAGGGGTCCCGCTCATGCACTGCTGTTTCTAGCACCTGTGCCCATGGCCTCTCCTCTCCCGGAGCATGGATGTTGTAGCAAAAAGGAGAGGCGAGCACATGATGGCTGCAGAGCTTAGGGACCTGCCTTGCCCACCTGCCTTGCCCACCCCAGAGTTGGCTCCTTCTGTCCCAGAGCCACTACCCCCACTTCTTTCCAGAGATGCGCAGACAGGTCAGAGCTCCTTGGGGTTCCTGTGAGGAGGGAACCATTGTAGGTTCCAGCCCTGGTGCTGCTGGCTCTTCCCCAAGCCTGTTTTCCCCTGTAAGATAAAGGACCCCCCTCCAAAAATAACTCATGTGTCCAATGATGATAGGCCACATCAAAACATGGTCACTCACTCCTTAAAAAAATACAGTGAGGGCCTCCCTGGTGGCACAGGCGGTTGAGCGCTACACTGTGAAGCTGCCCGCAGCCTCTGCAGCACCAGTTCGATCCCGGCCGGCCGGTGAGAATCCCACATGGCGCAGCAGACCTCTCCTGTCTCCCAGCTGCTCCCCTCAGCAGTGTATTTCAGTCCATCTGCCTGTTCTGTTCCCCACTCTGTCTCCGGTGAATCCCCTCACCCTCCTGTGCATCTGGCCTATACCCTGGTTCTTGAATAAAAATTAACAAATCTTTAATTAAAAAAAATACAAAGCTTTAAAAAAAAATACAGTGAGCCCAATTCTCACCCTGTTCACCTGTGGGGGATCCAGGAAACCAACCAGGAGGCTCCACAAGCAGGCCCCCTGCAGTGTAAGCAGGAAAAATGGGCTGTAGGTACCCCCCAGTACCCCCCACCAGCCATTGTTGGCTTCAGAATGAGGGGCAGCCAGCCAAGATTTACAGGCAAAACAGTCATATGAGGGTTTGGTTTCAAGGACAAAGTTTCCATTAAGCCTCTTTTATAAAATAGAACAAGGAACATAAAACCTGTGCGGTGAGCAGTATGGTATGGGGAGGGGCCGGGGGCAGGGCGCTGTGGCCTGGTTGTTACACAGTTGGGGAGGGGGGTGTCTCCTGAGCACCTGCGGGAAAGGACATGGGGCCTGGGTCTCTGCACGGCTCCTAGGCTTCCCCTGGGCTACCGCTGGACCTTCCTGGAGCTGGAGGAGACAGGAGTCTTGTCCCCCTGGGTAGGGGGGCAGTGGGCCTCCTGAGCAGCGTCAGCAAGGCCTATGTCAGCACTGCACCCCCAGGGGCCTCTGCCTGATGGGACTGGACAGGCCCTTTCCCCTCAGTGGTTTGCAGGCCCAAGAGCAAAAGGTGGAGGGGGCTCTGTAGGGGACATTAGCTCTCACTGAATCCTCACAAAACAGGGGGGTTGAGGCCCGGGATCAGGAGGGTGCTGAGCCCCAACGATGGTTCCCTCCTCACAGCCTGGGAACCCCAAGAACTCTGACCTATCTGCATGTCTGGAAAGAGGGGCGGTGGCTCTGGGACAGAAGGAGCCAGCTCTGGGGCTCCGGCAGAGATGGGCAAGGTGGGCAGGCCGAGGGCCTCCAAGCGCTGCAGCCATGCTGTGCCTGCCTCCCTCCCCCACGCTTCTGCGGGCCATGTTCCTCTCATTGGTGTCCCCTCCGCCTCATACCTGTCCTACGCCCTCAGCAGGGGGTGAGCCTGGCTCTGTGCCTGCCCCCCCCAAGTCCTGGGGCCGCCTACCATGCCCGGGGTCACTGCTTGGTGACTGCTCCACCCATCGGGTGCCACCACAACGCAAGCCACTTGCCCCTGGAACTTCCCTCCCATAGGAATTAAAGCCCCACCCTTAGGGCACCGCGTTTGGAGGAAGGCCCCGCCTCTCGTGGCCCTCGCCCTCCTGGCCTCCTTGCCGCCTTCCTCACACCTTCGTGCTCAGTCTGACAGTGACGGTGAGAGCGAGGAGGCAGCCTTCCCGCCCCCCACACTTTCAGAGAGAGGGCTGGGCTGCTCCCTCTCACCCCACCTTCCAGCCCCAGAAATGGGGTTTCAGGGAGATTGGTGTGAGCCCTGGTCTCTGCCCAGCCCCCGCCTCCTGCCTCCAGACAGCTCGGGCCCAGTTCCCTTTCCTGCGGCAGTGGAGAGAGGCTCGGAGTTCGTTGTTCGGGGACCTTTCGCCCAAGAGCCAGATGGTCCCCCTTAAATGCCCCAAGCTCCCTTCTCCCAGCCACACAGGCACCGGGGACATCTGGCAGAAGGTTATTGGCTGAGCCTGAGCTGCTGGCAGTGCCTAGTGACCCAGCTGCTGCCTGAGGCAGGAGTGGGGGTGGGGAGCCAGAGAATCAGCCCCCCTGTCTCTAACCCTAACTGGCTGCTACTGGCCAAGGCCCGCCCACAGAAGTGAGGTCTCAGCACAGCCAAGGAGCCAGGGTGGGTTGGGCTGGGGGCAGCAAGGTTGAGGCTGCCCTGACCTGACGCAGCAGGAGCCATACCCGCGGTGTGCGGTCAGGAGTAGGCCTGCGGGGCCTGCGTGGGTTTAGGGCTTGCACGCTTGCACATGGCCTCAGTGTGTGTGGCTGCGCACTGTGTGTCCTGGGACTGCCAGCATGCAGGGATGGGTGTGAGCTAGTCTGGGGAAAGTGGTCTTTGGGTGCTTCCCTCCCCAGCCTGGCATCTTCCTCTGTGGGAGGGCTGGGATGACAACCTTTGGGGACAGAGTCCTTCTAGGGCCTCCCATAGCAACCGAGGTTCTAGGTCCTTCCTCATCTTTCCAGTTAGTGAAAGAAGGCGCAGGCTGGGCACAGGGACACCTAAATCCCCTCAATCTGCTCCAGAGGCCAACCTGCTTCCCCCAGGGTGTCCCTTTGGGAGACAGAAAAGGTCCAGGCTCTGATACTCCTCCCCACTCGGCCCAGTGCTGGCTGTAGTTTTGGGGGACTGAGCGGCAGAGAGAGGAGAGGGCAGGGTAAAGTGCACAGTCATTGCTGGGAAACAACATTCACCCCCGGGAAGAAGAAACATGTTTAAGCAGATGAGCTGTTCCCTTAGGTCTCTGGACCGCAGGAAGAGGACAGCCTGCCTCCTCCCTGCCCACAGCCCCAGCCCCCTGGGGGCCGCTCCTCCCCCTCCACATGTGACAATCTCAGGCCCTGGCTTCAGAGGGCAGCGCGGGCCTCACCAACACGGGTCTGCGAGCAAGGCCTATGCAGTCAGGCCTTGCTCACCCCAGGCCCCTCCCGCCACCGCCCGGCCAGCTGCGCCAGCTGCACGCAGCGCCCTCCTTCATTGCCTCATTTTACCCATTGGGGCTTTCTGTCCGGCCCTTTCTAAAATAATACAGACCCGAGTCCCACCTCTCCATCCCAACCTGAAAAGGACATTGTGTGGAATGCTCGCGCCGGGTCAGGCGCTCCTGCAGGAACTCAACCCTCCCGCGTTTCCACAGGGCACTTAGCCGTCCCCCTCGCTTTACCAGGAAACAGGCCAACCCGCCGGCCATTTCACGGTTAAAAGGCAGAGCCCGCCCCGCCTGCCCTCGGGCCCTCTGGCCTACACTGCCCCCCAGTGGCCGCGCCAAGGCTTCCGCGAAGTGCCCGCCTTCGGAAGGCCTCTAAAGAAGGCCGAGAGTCTCAGTCTGCAAGAGTCTCCATCTGGGAACTGCTGCCTGGGTGGCTGCTCTTGGGTGCGCCCCCTCCCCAAGTCCCCAAAGACGCTCTGAGTGCTGTCCAGACAGACCTAGGCGTGGTGGCAGGGGGAAGAGCCTGCTGGAAATGAGCCCTGGCTGGGAGTCCTGGGGGGCTGGGCATGAGCACATGGCACCCAAGAGGATGCCCTTTCTCCAGTCTGATTCTCTGCCCGCTCTGGCCGGGGGCCTGCCTGGGCGGGGAGTGTGCGGCCTGGAGCAGAGCATGTCACTCCTGCGTCTGCGCTCAGCCCGGTCCAGGTGCAGACAGGAAGGCCCGTCTAGGCTCTTGGGCCTGCCCTGCCCAGTCCCACGGGTTTTGCAGGCAGCCTGACTCCCCTGGTACCCCAGAAGCTGAAGGCAAGAGGCAGAGGTCTCCCCCAGGGACCCCAGCTTTTCCTCTAGCCCCCGCCAACAGAGGCTACCTAGCCTGTTTTTCTAAGGCAGGAAAAGAAGCAGTTTCAGAAAATAATTTAATAGTGAAACAATGAATTATATACATTCTTTACACCCAGCCCCCCGAAGGGAGATAGGTTACTGGCTCCACAGAGGCTTTTAAGGGCAAAAGGGCTAGAAATTATCAACACCCTCTGATTTTTTTTATAAAGAAACCCCCCCAATAATTCCAGGCGTACATTCCTCTCCAGGGCCCGTGTGTTTGTACATGCAGGGGCGGGGGGTGCTGTTAGCAGCCCCCCTGGAGAGATGGGGGGGGAGTCGCATGGGTAGCGGCAGTGTGAGACTGAGAACAGGGTCTCCTTGATTGTTGGGTCCCCCGAAGCCCAAGGGGTCAGGTAGCCACATGCTTCTTCCTCCCAGGCCAGAACCAGTTTTTTGACAAAGAAGGGGTGTTGACGGAAGAAGGATGGAGGGAGAAGGATGAGGACTGAGGCCACCCCCCTTCCCCTTGTGCCCGGGCAGGAACAAGGTGTGAGTTTCTCATATTTGCCCCACTCGCCACAGTACAAAGTACATTATTTTCATGCTTCAAGGATTATCTTAACACAGTGAGGGTAGGGGTGGTCATTCCCAGGAAGACTGGAGTTCTGTAGGGTGGGGTCATCCCTGAGGGGTCTTGGGGTATCTCATTCCAGTGCACAGGAGGTGAGCGGCAGTAAGGTTTCCCAGGGAGGACAGCTGCCTGCTGGCAGGGAGGGCCAAGAAAGAACCTTGTCCTCCTCTCAGAGCAAAGCCAGGATTTTCATGCCTCCACTCAACAGGCTCCAGACCCAGCAGCCACCAAAAAAAAGTCATATTTAAGAATCATCTTTCCAGAGTCCGGGCTTAAACATCCACACCGTGCTCGGGGCCCAGGCCCAGTGCTTCCAGAAGATGACATCAGTCTTCAGCACTTTGGGGACTGGAGAGCATTCTGAGGGGGGCTAGAGAGCTTAAAATGTGGGGGCTATAGTGGCCCACCCAGGAAGCCTGCTTTGCAGAGGACCAAAGAATCCTGGACGTCAGCCTGGGTTATGCTCCCCTAACTCCAGATGGGGTGTCCAGTCATCTTTCCGGGGTCACTGGAGAGTACAAGCTGTAGAGGGGGAGGGGAGGGTTGTCTCAGCTTTCAGGCAAAAGAGGGCGAAATCTAGGGCTGTCCCAGCCCCCAGCCCCCCTTGGATAGAGGATCAGGCCTCAGGGCAGAACTCACAGCTGCGAACAGACTCCAACATCCCTTCTTTATCCAAGGCCTCGGCTCCCCAGTGAGAATCCCTCATCTAAAGGACATAAAGGCAGCACAAAGGGTGAGAGGCAGCCAGAGGCAGGCCCAACCGAGAGTGAAAGAGGAGACAGGACCGACAGGCCTTCAGGTGGAGACTGAAGAGCGAGGCACGCAAGAGCTAGAGCAGGGGCAGGAAGCCATAGGCAGAGGGACAGCACCCATGGGCCCCTGGGCACCCACCTTAATCTGCTCCTTCAGGTATTCAGCTCGAGCCATGAGGTTCTGAACCTGCCAAGGGAAGACAGGCCCGTGAGTACGTGAGAGCCTCCTCACTCCTGATGCTCCCCAGAACCCCTTTCCACTCAACAACTGCTCTGACTTCTTTATCCACTTACTCCTCCAGGAAGCCTTCCCAACTGCAGCAGCCCAGCAACCTTCTGTTGTTAGGTGGTTGCCTGTCCCTGACCCGGGCACCAGAGTGCCAATGGAGCACACGGGCAACCACTTACCAAGTCTGGGGCAGACCTACGACACCCTAAAGGAACCTGAGGACCCCCAGATGGGAGGAGGGTAAAGAGGAAGAAAATAAGCCCCAGCCCCTCCACCCCGCTCCCAGGCACCTCAGTATGAAGCAGCTCCCGCCTCCGGCCTGGGGGCTCCGCTGCAAAGAGAGGGCAGGTAGTGAGGACAGGGTGGCCAAGGGCTGCAGGGAGTGGGATGATGAGGGGGGTCTCACCTGCCAGCAGCAGCAGCAGCTCCCCCAGGACGTGCTGGTACAGGACCAGGGCGTCCTGCTCCCCACCAGCTTCCTCCTCCTGCAGCCACACGCACAGCGGGTCACTTAGGACCATGGCCAGGGTCCTGCCTGCCCGACCTGGACCCATCCCGCGGGGCACAAACCTTGGCCGTGGCAGCCGAAGCCACTTCCAGGGCAGCGAGGAGGCGTGGCTTGTCTCGGGCCATCTCTGGGATGAGAAGGCAAAGGACATGAGGGGCGTCCTTTCTATTTGATCTGGGGGAGCCTCCCCAAACATACCTCTCTCTTGGGAGGGAAGCCACTGGAGAGCCTGCACTCGGCCAGCAAGTGGGCTTACCTTTGAGCAAGTCTCGAGCAGAGGCTCCCTGCCCCAGCAGGGCCTGACTGGAAGAGGAGACGATGGCCTTGAGCTCCTCAGCCCGGGACACATACTGCCCCACCTGCAAGGAGTGGGGGGCTGAGGTGCAGCAGCCCCTCACCCATCTCCCTCACCAGCTCTGACCCCAAGTTCTCCCTCTCGTCCTAGCGGCTGCTCCAAGATGGACTGTCAGGGGCCACCCGAGGTTGGCCCCAGTGGCCCCTTCCCAGAGAGAAAGTTCCAGGTCTGGGAGCCAATCCCGGGGCCCCGGGGCCCCTCACCCATTTCCACAAGTGGGCACTCTGGGGGCCCCTCACCCATTTCCACAAGTGGGCGCCCCGGGGGCCCCTCACCCATTTCCGCAAGCAGGCGCTCGCTCATTCACCTTGGCCTTGATTGCTTCCTTCCGCTGGGCGTCCACCTCATCTGTGGAAAACGGGGGTTTCTACAGGGAAGCTGAGGCAGGGGCCCTCTGCCCCCCACCAAAGCCTCGAGAACTCTCCGAGAGCACAAAGTCCCAGATTTACCCTCTGCCTTATCTCCCACACATCCCGGATGGGGAGTGTCTTCTGGAACCCAGCCACGGCAGCTACCGCTGACCCACCCTGCTGCACCCCGGGGCTCTGGGCAGGGCTGGCACTCACAGTGTAGGGCAGGCACAAAGAAGTCCAGCGCCTTGCAGTAGAGAGATAAGGCAGCCGCGGCGTCGCCTTCCTGGTCCTTCTTCACTGCCTGCACCACCAAGGCGGTCTGGGGACAGGCAGAACAGGAGTCAAGCCCACCCCCATGCCCAGGGACAAGCAGGCTCCCTACACCCCTTCTCTGCCTCCTGTTGGAGTAGATGAGACCACCCTCGCCCCGCCTCACCCCCCTGGCCTGCTCACAGCTTGCGCCAGGCTGTCCCCACTGGGCATGTGCTCCAGGTCCACCCAGGGGTGGGCAAAGAAGTCCTGGAAGGAGATGCGGCGGCCGGGGTCTCGCTCCAGGAGCCGCTTCAGCAGGTCACGGCAATCTCGAGAGAGCAGGGGCTGCAGCGGGAGCTGCGGGTAGGGGGAGGGCCGGGCTCAGATGGCTGCGGGCCCTAGAACCTCAGCCCTCACCTAGAGGCCTGTCAGGATCACCCTGTCCTGGGATGCCCCGGAAGGACGCCTTCAATGAGTGGGGAATCTGAGACCCAGAAGGAGAAGCGAAGGGTCTAGGGGACGGGGCAATGGAGGGCCATGCTCCCCCAGGCTGCTGTGCGCACCCTCCTGGGCCCCTCAGCTCTGGGGAGCCTCCTCCACGGGCTCTTCTTCACCCCCGGATCAAGCCCGGAGAAGGCTGGGCCAGAGCTGCCCCGGCACGCTCCCTGGGGCTCGAGGGGTCTGCACAACACCCGTGGGGAAGGCCTTTGGCCCTGCTGCGGCTGTCTGGGTCCCTGGCACTGAGTGGAGTCAGACCGCCAGCCTGGAGCGTGCCCAGCACCCTAGGGTGGGCTACCACCCACATTCCCAACTGTGTGGGCAGCAGCGACCCTGACGCCCTCTCCCTGCAATACCAGGGCCCCGCGGGGCTGCACCCACCTCCACAGCCCGGCTGCTCCGGATCTTCTCTTCCAGCTCTGAGAACGACCTGGAGGCGAAGGGGGGCTGCCCGAAGAGGGCTTCTGTGGAAGGGAGGCAGAGGGCAGGCTGGGCGGGGACAGGGTCCGGCCTGGCCCGGCCCACCCCCGGGGAGGGCGCCTGGCACCCTCCGAGCCGGGGCTCCGGGCCGGCAGCGCCGGTGTTCTTGGGAGAAGCCCTCAGGAGCGGCCGGGAAGGAGCTCTCACCATACAGGATGACACCCACGGACCAGAGGTCCACCCGGGCGTCGTACTGCCGCCGACACACCATCTCGGGGGCCATGTAGAGAGGGGAGCCCCGGAGCACGTGCTTCTCGTCCCAAGGGGACATGTGCTGTGCGAAACCGAAGTCTGCGGGCAAGAGGGGCAGCAGGCAGCGTGGCTCGCAGTGCAGCTGCTGCGGCTCCCGGGCCCCAGGGCAGGGCTCCTCCGCCCCTGCCACGCTCCCACGCCGCTCACGCTGTTTCTCTCAGCAGCCGCCTAACGAGCGCGCACCCCTGACAGCGTCCCCAGGAGACACAAGTCCTACACGCCCTGCAGTGCCCCATCAGACACCTCTGCCCAGGAAGCCCCCCCACTGCGAGGATGCGGGCCACTCGGGGTTGGCACCGCCCTCTGTCCCCCCGAACTCAGGCTGCACCCAGCCCCTGGCCTCAGCCTCAAGTCCCTTCCTGTCCACATTCTCAGGGGCCCCACGGCCCGTCCCTCACCCCACACCCTCCCACACCGCCACAGACTGAGTCAGAGTCGCTCCAGGTCTGGGGACACTGTGCCCGCCCCCCATCCACTGTGCTGCTCCAGTCAAGTGTAGGGCGCCCGAGACAGGACCGGCTTCTGGTGATACGAGGCCCAGTCCCGATCTCCCAGCCTGTCACCACATAATGACTCAACAGCGGCGCCATGAGAAGCCGGCTGCCGAGTGAGCCCAGGCAGAGGGAGCACTGCACACACACCCTCCCGGCCTCACCCCTGCTGATTCAGACTCACACCTGCCAGTTTAAGGTGGGGTTTCTCCAAGGAGCTCAACAGAATGTTCTGTGGCTTCAGATCCAGGTGAGAGATGTTCCGTTCGTGCAGAAACTGCAGGGCACTGGCTGGGGAGAAGGACCCATGCAGGGAAAGGTCAGGGGAGGCCTCTTCCACCTGCCCCTCACCTCCCAGCCTTTCATCTGCCTCTTCAAATTGGCACCACCCCAGTTCTGGCCCAGCCGGTCGACTGAATGCTTCACACCCAAGTACCAGGCTCCTGCCACTTGTAAATATTTGCCTCCCATCCTGAGGACCCTCCTTCCCCCGTCAGGCCCATTCACAAATCCCCTCTCCTCCAGGAAGCCTCTCTCGATACAGCCCTTTAGGCTCCTGCTCTTTTCCTTGGCAAATTGCATGTGTTCTATCCACGGGCCCTGGAATGTCCTGTGAGTTTCTTATATTAAAATCCATATGTGGGGCCTCCCTGGTGGCACAGTGGTTGAGCGCTGGGCTGCGAAGCTTTCCGCAGCCTCTGCAGCGCCAGTTCGATCCCCGGCCACTGGCAAGGGTCCCACATGGCAAGCAGACCTCTCCTGCCTCGCCTGCTGCTCCCCTCAGCAGTGTATTTCATCAGTCTGCCTGCTCTGCTCTCCCCTCTAGCTCTGGTGAATTCTCTCACCCTCCCGCGCTTCTGACTATACCCAGTGCTTGCATAAATAAATAATTTCTTTAAAAAAAAAAAAAAAGACTTATATATATATTTATTTATTTATTTATACAAGCGCTGGGTACAGTCAGAAGCGCAGAAGGGCGAGAGAATACACCAGAGCCAGAGCGGGGAGCAGAGCAGGCAGAAGGACCGAAGTACACTGCTGAGGGGAGCAGCGGGCGGCAGGAGAGGTCTGCGCACCATGCGGGACCCTCCTCTGGTGGCCGGGGAGCAGCCGGGGATCTAACTGGCACTGCAGAGGCTGCGGGCAGCTTCGCAACCCAGTGCTCAACCGCTGCGCCACCAGGGAGGCCCTAAATAAATAAATCTTTGAAAAAATAAAATAAAATCCACATGTGGAAGCCTGGCCTCCTCACAGGTGGGTGATACTCTCTGTCTCTCACAGCCCTTTAGCCATGGGCACAATGGCCCTCAAAATCCAGGCTCAGCATAGTGGGCAACTACTGTGAGTGCCAGGGTTCTAAGCCTGGGCCAAGAGCACAGTGGGAGGGCAGAAATCATGGGAAGGGGTGCCAGGCTGGGGCAGAGGCGCTTACCCAACTGCTGCATGAAGATGCGAGCCACCTTCTCAGGAAGAATCCTGCGCGTGTGGATGAAGCGAGACAGGTCTCCCCCTGCACAGAACTCCATGATGAGATAGATGTTGTCACTGTCCCACTGCGGTACAAGTGGAGAGGCAGCTTGAAGACAGTGTCCCTTTTCCAGCCCCCTATGGGGGTGGCCACACACCAGGCCAGTACCTGGAAATCTTTCAGGTGTACAATGTGGGGGTGTCGAATGCCCTTGAGGATCTCAATCTCTGTCAGGAGGTTTTCCACGGATGCCTTGTTGAGACTCTTCTTGGCCACGCACTTTATGGCTACCACCTCTCGAGTGTCCTTCTGTGCCGACAGATTTGAGGACTCTGTCTTGAGGGGGCCAAGACTCATGCCTGACCAGAAGAGCCCAGGTCACCTCTGACCCTCTACCTCTCACTGGGCCTGCCCATCACAGGGGCATCCAGGTATCCCAGCTTGCTCTTCCCATGCCACTGAGGGATCCCGGCTTCCCGACCCAGGCTGCTGGGCTCCAGCCCTCTCTTCCAGAACCCACGTCACTGCATTCCGGAGCGCCCCGGGAAAAGCAAGCCCGTCGGGGTTCCAGCCCGCCGGGGTGGCTGCCCGACTAGGCTGGCCCTGGAGACCCCTGACCCGGGCTCCCCCCGCCCGCCCGGGGCTTCCCCGTCTGGCCCTGTCCCCGCGCCACCGACACGCCGCCCCCGAGGTCCCCGCGGCTCTCCAGGCGGGCGAGGGGCGCGCCGGGCGTCTGCTCTTCAGGTACCGGGCGGCACCGGCGCCCCCTCCCCGGCAGCCTGGGCAGAGTCCTGCAGCTCGGGGTCCCCGGCCGCTCGCACGCCGGCTCTCGCGTCCCCCCGGCGCCCAGGCGCGCCCACCTGCCCCCCGAGCCCCAATTCCCGGCTCGCGCGGGCGCGCCGTGGGGACGCCCCCACCTTGGCGTAGGCCTTGTACACCGTGGCGTACGTGCCGCTGCCCAGGCGCTCGGTGAGGATGAAGCCGTCCAGCCGCGGGGGGCCCCAGCCGGGCCCCGCCATCCCGGCCGCCCCGCGCCCGCACCGGCGCTTCCGGGTTCCCGGCACCGGGTTCCGGCCGGACCCGAGCGGCCGGCAGCGCCGCCCGCGCCGCAGCGCCCCCCGCGCCGCCCGCCGGGAGTGCAGCTTGGCCGGGCCGGACGCCGCAGCGCCCCCAGCGCCGCCCGCCGGGAGTGCAGCGCCGCCCCGCCCCGCCCCCGGCCTCCGCCCCGCCCCGCACACTGCCCCGCCCCGGCCTCCCGCCCCGCCCCCCAGCCACCTGCCCCGCCCCCCGGCCGCCGCCCCGCCCCGCCCCCCAGCCACCTGCCCCGCCCCCCGGCCGCCGCCCCGCCCCCGGCCTCCCGCCCCGCAGCCACCTGCCCCGCCCCCCGGCCGCCGCCCCGCCCCCGGCCTCCCGCCCCGCCCCGCCCCGCACACTGCTCCGCCCCGGCCGCCCGCCCCGCCCCCGGCCACCGCCCCGCCCCGCCGAGTGCTTCAGGTGCTTCAGGTGCTGCCACCCGACGTGGCCTCCGACCTGAACGCAAAGACCGCGTGACCCGCCGGCGCTCGCTGGCCCAGGTGAGAACAGTGAGGCCCCAGAAGCGGAGCTGTGGGGTGGGAGGGATTCAAAAAAGGCGCCAGACCCCTCCCTACCCGCCAGCCCTCAAGTTCTGAAGGGAAAATGCGAGCGCAGGCACAAGAGCGAGCCTTTGGGGGGGGGGAGGGCCGGCCCTGGGGGTGAGGGCCTGGCCAGCCACAGGGCGGCCAGATGTAGCCTTTGCACTGTCCCTTCTCACCCCTCGCTGAACCCCGCAGCCCCGGCCGGTGGCCACGCCCCATCGTCCAAGTCCAGCAGATACTAGGACCAGAGTTGTCTGAAAATGTCGTTTTTATTTAAGCACAATATTGAGACACAACATATACATTTGTACACGGAGAGAAAACACCTTAGGAGTTCACAAAAGCTTGGTCACTGCATTTACTAGTCTATGGCTCTGGGGGCTGAGAGGGGAGCAGCCTGAGGCAGCCTCCAGGTGGGCCCAAGTCCTGGCAGGGGAGTGTTAGACAGCTTTTTGATAAGCCCCCTCAGTCCACACGCCCACTCCTACCGCCTCTGGAGGACAGGGTACAGGTTCTACCTGTGGACCACGACAGTGACACAGCCCCTGGGGAATTCCCAGAACCAGTGGAAGACTTAAGTCAGGGTGTGAGAACCCTGGAAGGTTAGTCCAGAACCCTCAGAAAGGGGTGGCTCATTAGTCTAGGCAGAAGGATACAGATCTGGACTGATTACCCCTGCCTCCCTAAGTCAGGCAAGCTAGATATTGCTGATGGGGAGCAGAAAGCACCAGGCCAGCAGGTAGAATCTGAGGCCAAGGCCAAGGGCAGCTGTCCCACAGGAGAGGAGGGAATCATAAAGCACACCAGGACAGCAAGACCCCATCATTGAGAAGCCTGCCAAAGGCTGGGGAGGACACCTTGGGGTCACTGTCCTCTGTCCCTCCCCACCCCCATTGCACATTCAGTAAGTCTAGAGAGAGAAGGGCTCAGGGAGGGCCCCAGAGGACATAAGGTACTCCCCACACCAGAGGGTGCAGGGGGGCCTACAGCGCTACAAATCTGTGAGAAACAGGAGACAGGCGGAGCCTGGGCCAGAGGCCTGTGAAAGTCCAGAGACCAGCCCAAAGTGAGCTGGAGAACAAAGCTGTCTACCCTTCCAGACTACAGCTCACCTAAGGTGTGCCCACAGGAGGCCGCTCCAGCTGGGGCAGGAAGGGAGGACAGCCCTAGAAGCCATAGTCTAGGTCTGTGCAACCAGATTCAGGCCAGGCCTGTGGGGGGAAGAGTGGAGTCTGAGAACCGCCACAGAAACAGAACTCCAGCTGGGTAGGCCCAGGTCAGCTGGAGCCCGTCTGTGTGTCAGGGTGCATGTGTGGTCTTGGGTGTCAGCCCCCTGCTTCCAGAGAGACAAAAGAATCCCATCAAACCACCACCAGAGAAGGAAAGAATGTTTTTTTTTTTTCTTTTCTCTTATATAAAAAAAGTCCCTGTCCCTTCCTCCTCTCCACATCAGTGGAAGGGAGAGCTGGTTGCTGAGGAAGGAGCAAGAACCATGGCAAAATCATCCCCGGATCTATGCTGGGCGTAACCACTGCTTAAGGCACCCATGAAAAGTGCAGCTCAGAAGGCAGGTGAGAGAAAAGGCTGGGGCAGAGGGAGGAGACTTAGGAAGGCTAATTCCCCTGGAAGGCTCCTCGGGCAGCAGATGAGGCAGCGCTGCGCAAGGTCCTGTTGCTGAAGATGCCCTGGGAAAACTCCTCCTGGGCCTGCTGGAAGCTGGCCCCTGTCCGGCGGTACAGGGAGTGCACCTGTGGAAAGAGGCTGGGGTGAGAGAAGCCTGTGGGCCCACGAGGAACCCCATCATCCGGTTATGCTCCCAAAGGGGGCCAAGCAGGAACCCAAGCCTGCCTGTACCCCCACCCAGAGCCTTGGAAGAAGTTGCTGGACCTAGAAGGCCCCACCATATTGATGAACATCCCATGGCCAAGGCAGGAGAGGCGCTTGCTTGCTCTGACTGCTGACGGCCCAGTGCCCACCACTCACCCGCTTTAGGAGGAAGAGGGAGAGCACCGCACAGAGGGTGAAGAAACCAGCCACCACCATCATGATGATCGACACGGCCAAGTCTTGCTTCAGTGTAGTCAGGGCTGCCATCCAACCACTACAGAGGAAGGAAGAGGCCAGAATGGGAGTGGGCCCCAGAGGTCCCCACAAGATGTTCTCTTCTCCAAATGGCTGCTGTATCCTCACTACCCTCTACCCCAGCCTCTCTGCAGGGTAGAGTTTTGTGGGCCAGAAGCCCTGGTCTGTCAGAGGCTAGGTCTCAGTGAAGGCCAACAGGTCCCACCCATACTGCCCACAAGGTATTTCTGGTCTGTGTTTGAGGCCTGGAAGGGAAGAGGTGGCTGGCTGCTGCCCTCAAGTTCTTGAGTTGCTCTTCTTTGGGGCCTGAGGGGACATGGAAAGCCTAACTGCTTACTCCTGAGGATCTGCCCTTTGGGAAGGACCACCACTGGCCAATCCATTGCACTCATTTTCTTTTCTTTCTTTTTTTTTTTTTAAAGATTTATTTATTTGCTTATACAAGCACTGGGTACAGTCAGAAGTGGGGAAAGGTGAGAGAATTCACCAGAGCCGAAGTGGGGAGCAGAGCAGGCAGAAGGACCAAAGTACACTGCTGAGGGGAGCAGCAGGGGGCAGGAGAGGTCTGCACGCCATGTGGGACCCTCCTCCAGTGCCGAGGAGCAGCTGGGGATCGAACCAGCACTGCAGAGGCTGCGGGCAGCTTTGCAACCCAGCACTCAACCGCTGCGCCACCAGGGAGGCCCCTGCACTCATTTTCTTGATCTCTGCTCCTTCCACTGAAGCCCAGAGACAGTCCTGCCTCTGTCCCATCAGTCATAGCACCTTCCTGAGCCCCAGTGTCCCAATTTCAAGACATGCTACCAAGCTACAGTTACCAAAACGTTATGACCGAGACATAAGACAAGATCTACAGGTCAATGGAACAGAGTTGAGAGGCTAGAAATATATCCACACATCTAGTGTCAACTGGCAGCTCACTGCCCACATCTTTCCTTTTTCTCTTTTCCTTAATAAACTTGCCATGTACACGGCAGACCTCTCCTGTCTCACCCGCCGCTCCCCGCCGCGGTATTTTCAGTCAGTCTGCCTGTTCTGCTCCCCATTCTGTCTCTGGTGAGTCCTCTCACCCCTGCAACTCTGGCCTGTACCCCAGTTCTTGTATAAATAGATAAATCTTAAACAAACAAACAAACAAACTTGCCATGTGCTGATGAATGGTGAAAAAACCATCTAGTATCAACTGATTTTTGACAAAGGGTGAAATAAGGAATGAATAGTTTCTTCAACAGTGGTCCTGGGACAACCAGATACCCACATGCAAAATTCCACCTCTATGTGTACACCCAAAAAAATATAAAAAAAGTAATTCAAAATGAACCAAAGACTGAATTATAAGAGCTTAAAGTTTAAAACAGGGAATTCTACAGATTTGGCAATCGTTTTTCTTAGGTATGACACTGAAAGCAAAGCAATGAAGATAAACTGGATTTCATCAAAATTAAAAACTTTTGTACAGTAAAGGACACTATCCAGAGTAGAAAAACAATACACAAGAGTGGGGAAAAACTATCCAGAATATATAAAGAACTTGACAACAGGGCTTCCCTGGTGGCTCAGGGGTTAAAGACACAGCGCTGTCAAGCTTTCACCAGCCACTGTAGCACGAGTTTGATCCCCGGCCTGCCAGGGGGCTACACACTTGGCATGGCAGACCTCTCCTGGCTCGTCTGCTGCTCCCCTCAGCAGTGTATTTCGTCAGTCGGCCTGTTCTGTTCCCCACTCTGGCTCTGGTGGATCCTCTCATCCCCCACACCTCTGGTCTGCACCCCAGTTCTTGTATGCATAAATAAATATATATATAAAAAAAGAACTTAACAACAAAAAACCCAATCAATAAATTAGCTGACAATTTGAGTAGAATTTTTCTCCAAAGAAGATATTACAAACCAATAAGCACATGGGACATGACCAGCACTATTCAGGAAATGCCAAGCTAAACCACAATGAGGTACCACGCTTCTAAGCCGGCTGTAATAAGAAAGGAAAGTAAGTGCTGGCAAAGGTGTGGAGATGGAGCGCACACACAGAGCTGCTGGCCATGGAGAATGGTCTAGCTGCTTGGGGAAAACAGCTGGGTGAGTCCCTGGCAGACTCACCCCCTCACCCAGCAATTCCACTTTTAGGTGTCTACCCTAGGAACTGAAAACAGTCCTCAAAAATGTGTACAAATATGTTCACAGCAGCACTATTCACCACTGCAGAAAGGTAGAAACCACCCTGCTGTCGTGCAACAGATGACTGCATGGACAAAATACAGTCTATCCAAACAATGGAATGTTATCCAGCCACGAAAGGAATGAAGCGCTGATTCAAGCTACAACATTGGTGGACCCCGAAAACATGACCCTAAGTGAGAGAAGCCAGAGGCTAGAAGCCAGCAAGTCCAGACAGAGAAAGCAGTGTCTGGCCAGGGGCCAGGGGCGCTCCATCTCCACACCTTTGCCAGCACTTACTTTCCTTTCTTATTACAGCCGGCTTAGAAGCGTGGTACCTCGTTCCTGCAAAAGAGGGAACGAGAAGTGGCTGCTTTAAAAGTATGAATTTCCTTGTATGGTGATAGAAGTGTTCTGGAAGTAGAGAGTGGTAATGATTGCACATCCTGGGAACACACTAAATGCTGCTAAATTGTATACAGTGATGTAAGAGGTAAATAAAATAAATTTATGTGTATTTTACAATCAACAACAACAACAACAAAAAAACCCAACGCTGGGTGTGATGAGGTGAAAGGCTGGCGGTCACAAGAGCTCATCCAGGTAGACCCAGGGCGGGCAGTGAGGGGCAAACCAGGACCAGAGCTCGAGCCTCCAACTCCTGGCCCAGGCCCACACAGCAGCCATTAATCACCGCCCCTTCTCCTAGGATCTCACTTAGGATAATGAATGATGAAATCTGGTCATCGATCAAAGAGGCAGATTAGAAAGAGCAAGGCAAGAAGGAAGTGGCCCCTGTCACGGCTCTGGACTTGTCAGCTCTACTAGCAGGAGGAGACCAAAATAGTGCAGCCCTTCCAGATAAGTGCCAGCCTGACCTTTCTGTAAGGCTCCTTGTGCAATGGGGCAGAAAGGAAAACACCAGCCACCAGCTCCTTTCTGAGACAGATTCTGAGCAGTGGGCTGCAGCACCCAAGAAATGCAAGCCGGCTGTGTGCTGGGTGAGTGCAGCAGCAAGAGGGTGTCCTCCAGGAGAGGCTAGGGTCGTCTCTGCAGTTACACTGTCTCCGGGAGAAGTCACAGTACAGGGCAAAGGCAAGGCAGCCACAGCAGTTGCCCACACGCAAGGGCCAGTCTGGGACCGTGGAAGTAGCACCCGCCCCAGAAGGCAATGTAGGAGAAAAGGAAGAGGTGGCTATAATTGTAGGACACAGCCCTGCCAGCCCAGGGATTCATGCCAAGTTCATTCACAACACCCCAGAGAGTGGCCCTTGCATGTGGGCAGCTGCTGTGGCTGCCCTGGCCTTTGTAGGCCCTGCACTGTGACTGCTCCTGGAGACAGGGTAACTGCAGAGACCCTAGCCTCTCCTGGAGGACGCCCACTTGCAAGGCAAGACGGTGAGCGGCGACCAGTGAAGAACTGGCGACGGGTCACAGAAGCGGGTCCCTGCTGGCCTGCCCACCCCTCTCCCTGTCAAGGCAGGAAGAAGCCATCGCTGGGGCTCTCTAGAAGCTGGGAAAAGAGGCAAAATAGGCTGAGGCCACCTCCACCGCAAACTTCCCTCTGTGCAGCTCAGGCCTCACCTGTCCCCCAAGCCAGGGATGCCAATCAACTGGATGATATAGATGCCTATTTGACAAAAAAATATAAGGAAGAACACGAAGAAGCTGAAAGAGTTGTCGGACCTGTGGAGAAAGAAGGAAATAAGTCACACGAGGGCTTGGGGCTCACAGCATTCCTCACTGGCTATGACATCTCACCTCACTATGCGGCGGGATGGGATAGCAGACAGAGCTCTGGGGGTCAGTCACACTGTCCAGAAGGACAGACATACAGACATTCACCCCCATAATCAAAATAAGCTTGCCTTTTACTACCTTCCAATTCAAAGTGTCAATGCTTAACCATTTGTCAAATTGCTGATGTTATAAAAAGCCTGATATGGGTGAGGGAGTGGTGGGTGGCCCAGAGTGGTAATACCTGATGGGGGTATCCCAACAGTACCTCAATTGAAAACAGATAAATTATTTTTTAAGAGTCCATGAGGAGTACTTATTTTCATTTTGTAACAGAAGTTCTAAGCCGGAGGTATAAATCTCTAATACAACCATAGGCCTGGGGGAGGAAAAGGCATTTGAGGAGCAGGGAATTCCAGACAAGCTGGTGTTTCCAGCACCTCCGTCTCCACGTCATTGAGGACATGAATTCCGCAAGGTTCAGGTCCTGCCTGCTGGTGCTGCAGCAGGAACTCTGAGGCACAAAATTCCAAAGGCCCTAGGGGTCTGTGTGGTGGCACCACGATGCTCACAGTATCTGGGCTAGGTTGCCGCTCAGAGGTGCTTAAGAGTTTGGGGACGAGGGCGCATGTATGAACAGGCCAGATAAGCCAGTGGGAGGCCCCGCCCCGCTCAGCCAGAGACGCAAGGCCCAGAGCCTCGGGAGGGAGCTGAAGGAAGTCCCCGCTCTCTTCCCCGTGACTGAAATCCCACCGCACCCACAGACTGCACCCGCAGTGGAAGCAGGTAAGGCTCCTGATCCCCATTCCAGTCTCCAGTGCCCGGTTCCAGGACAGGGTCCAGCGCAGACCTCAGGCCTGACACTGGAGGAAAATGGCTCCTGACCCACCTGTTCTCACTATGGTGGCAACGAGAAAGAGAATTTCCCCACCATTTTATTCAGCTCTAAGACTGGCATGGGGGCCCAGGATTACGGCCCTTGGCCTCCTCCCTGAAGGCCACCCATAATCACCCCTTACCCAGCCCCACTCACCTAAAGGCCTTATAGATGGGTCGGTACCAACAAAGGAAGGCACAGGGGGTGAAGATCAGAAACCACAAGATCGAGAGGCCAAAATCCACGCCCCTGCTGGTGTCGACTAAGAACCAGGCCAGGCAGGCAAGCAGGTTCAGAAACAGAGTCACCGAGTGCACTGGGGACGGGGAGGGGAGAGAGAGGTGAGCTGGAGGCTCCACCCTCCAGCAAACCACCCTGGCAAACCACCATGGCAAACCACCCTCTGCAGAGGAAACGAGACCCATGCTAGGAGGGCAGCGGCAGAAATAACAAGAGGACCTTGGCTGGTATGTAGACAAGGTTAGCTCCTAAATCCTGGGACCTCAAAACCAGGCACCAGGGGTGGCAGGACAGAATGGGATGCAGACCCAAGGGCTAATCCTTGGGAAATGCAGGCACCTCTTCCCACCATGGAGCTACAGCCATCTTTCACCATCAACCCCAGGGGGCTGTGGGGAGAGGGGTCTCCACCCAAGGAGGGCCTGCTAGCGTGGTAGACTCTGCAGGAACGCAGAAGCTCTGTTAGTCGCCCCTACCTGATCTGTGGTCTGGAATCGTACTTTCTGGGAGATTCCCAGGACAGGGAGGAGACTGCACGAGGCCAATTATATGGGCAGAAGGTCCCCTCACCCCGGCCCAGCAGTGAGAAAAGCTGGAGGTTACAGAAAGCCTGGATACCAGAAGCAGCCAGAGGAGACAAGGCTCTCTTGCCGTGCCCCATTTCACCCTTGGGCTTGGAGGGCAGGAGCGGGACTCACACATCCAGAGATAGTAGAGCATCTTGCATATCCGCTGGTAGTCGGCGGGGATCTCTGCGGAGAAGTCCTGATAGAAGCAGGGCTTGACAGGGAACCAGGAGGGCAGGGGCGGCCAGTTGTTCTCTCTCACTGTGTGGGAAGAGGGGGTGAGGTGAGGCCCAGCAGCAGCACACTGGAGTGCAGACACTGGCCTGGCTCACGGGCAAAAACAGGATTCCCAGGGAGCACCAGCAAACGGGGCTAGGGGTCTTCACAGGTGTGGAGTAGAATGGAAAAGGTGATGGGGCACAAAGAGACACTCACAAGGTCACTCTGGACCTTAGGGCCTCACTGGTGGTTCCGGGTTAACGATACAGCGCTATCAAGCTATAGCCAGCCTGGGAGCTACCCACATGGCGCAGCAGACCTCTCCTGACTCGCCCACTGCTCTCCTCAGCAGTGTATTTCAGTAGATCTGCCTGTTCTGCTCCCCACTCTGTCTCTGGTGAATCCTCTCACCCTCCGCACCTCTGGCCTATACCCCAGTTCTTGTATAAATAATCTTAAAAAAAAAAAAAAAATTGGGCCTTCCTGGTGGCGCAAGGGGTTAAGACGCAACCTGTGAAGCTGTCCGTGGCCAATGCAGCACAAGTTCGATCCCCAGCCAGGGAGCTACCCACATGGCACAGCAGACCTCTCCTGACTTGCCTGCTGCTCCCCTCAGCAGTATATTTCACTCAATCTGCCTGTTTTGCTCCCCACTATGTCTCTGGTGAATCCTCTAACATACCCCCTTCCCCACATCTCTGGTCTGTGCCCCAGCTCTTGTATGCATAAATAAATAAATCTTTAAAAAATAAAATTAAAAAAAAATTTTAAAAAAAAAAGAAAGAAATTTTAGCGCTGGGAAGGAATCCAAAAAGAGTCTACATCCGTTAGGTATACACTGCAGGTCTCCCACCTGCCCCCCTGCTCCTCCTCCCTGGCATTCTAGGACAAACAAGAGGCCAAAACAGGGGTGTGAAGAGCACAAGAGACTAAGGTGATGGCACACAGGTGACTTGGTGGTGGGAATCTCACAGGGACTGCACCTGAGAGGAGAAAGTGTTCATTGTACGAGAAGGAAGAATGATGCAAAAAAAACCCCAGAGGTCAGCAAAGCTCCTCGGCTGCCTGGGAACCAGAGGGTCAGTGAACTCTCCTGCCCAGGCACAGCTAGGGCCCAAGGCCTCCCTTACCGTGTAAGTTGGCCACACTGTTCTGCAGCTCCCGCTCCTTACGCTCCAGTTCGGCCGCTTTCCTGTCCAGTTCTTCCTGCTGCCGGAGCAGGCTCGCCTGGGCTGCAGAGGCCACGGCCTGGAGGGAGCAGGGGAGGTGGCAGGCAGCCAGACATGACTATCATGGTCAGGAAATCAGGCGGGCCCTGCCCCACACACGACAGCCAGCTGGGAGTCCCAGACCCTCAGCGTCTTGGGTAGCTGAGAGCACCACAGAGGGACCAAGGCCTACTGCCCTACCCCCCCTCTGCCCCTAAGCCATGACTGGGGCTCTCCTCTCCCTGTATCTGAGCTCGAGCTAGAAGAGCTACCCCCGGTCTGGAGTCCAGGCAAAGTCCAATTGTGGTAACCTCGGGGGTAACCTCCAAAGGAGAAGACCTCACAAGCTGAAACCTAGGCCTCACCTGAAGAGCCTGGAGGGTGAGTGTGGAGGGGAAACAATGCAGAGCTCCCGCAGTGTGTGGGGAGGACAGACCGTGCATCCTTGGAGCCTCAGGGATCTCGATTTAAACACTACCTGTTCTGCTCCCAGGAAGCAGCGCTGAGGTCCGCCTGCACTGAGGTGACCACCTACACCCTAGAACAGCCGCTTAGGCTTGGCCTTCTCTGCCCGGCCTCCATGGAGTGCAGTCCCAGTGTTAGCCCCTTTCCAGACAGAGCAGGGCCTCGGGGAAGGCAGCTCCTAAGGCCACACAGAGCAGGGTCCACACCAGCACTCCAGCAAGGGCCTGCTCCTGCTGGCGCTGCCGCTATTGGGGCCTGGTTCCTCCCTAAGTCTACACTCCTATTAGGGAGCAGCTATCAAGCCAGGACGAAGAGCCAGGCATACGTGAGCGCACGCATGAGTGCATGCACAAACACACTCATACACTCTCCAGGAGTTCTCCAGAGACCCAAGACTGCCTTTAGTGTGTGTATTTCAGGTGCTGGGGGTAGAAGCAGTCCCAGAGGTGACCCCGCTATACCATACTGAGGGGTTCAGCCTCCTTTCCCCAAGTCTGTGACTTCAGCTGAACAGGGCCCAGATGCCAACATCCCACCATCCAGCTGAGCGAGAGAGCCCTCCCTGCAACAATCCTCACCTCCTCAGGGTCCCAGGGCCAGCACAGAAGCACTTTCGGAGCAGGGCTGCTCGGTTTGTGGAGCAACCTGGCACCCCTAGAGGCCGAAGCCCCGCGCGGGCAGGGTCCAGGCAGCACGTCCTCACTCACGCTCACCTACGTTGTGCCTACCTTCGGAAGCTTTTGCATGTAGCTGTCTCTGAGAATACTATCTCCTCCTAGTAGCATCTGCCTCTCTGAGAGCTTGCTCACTGCCAGGAATCTGGGAGGCAGGAACTTGCTGGCCTGCCTAAGCAGGAGCTGCAACATACAACTCCATTGGGGTCACACCCTCAGGCAGCAGGAGGGGGCGAAGGCAGTGAGGTGAGCGGGGGGGGGGGGGGGAAAGGTGCAGGGCACTAAGCAGACAAGAAACCCGGGGGCAGCGGAGGGACAGAGAAAAGAAGGAAGGAGGGAGGGAATGAATGGGAGTGGGCCGAGGGGGAGGGGAGTCCGGCCCTGAGTGAGAGCGAGCAAACCACAGGCCCCAGGAGGCCGTGGCATGGCACAGCAGGGGCAAGTGTTCCCTGCGAGGACACCAAGGACCCCAGCCTGGCGGCAGTGGCGGTGGGGAGGGGCAGGGCAGACCCTCCACTTGTAAGTGACCAACAGGGCCCTTGAAGGAGTCGAGGATGAAGGCCCTCTGCCCGCCCCTAATCTCAGGGTTCGCTTCCTGGTGTGGGCGCTTCCCTTTCCGGAATGGAGAGCCTGCGCAGTCTCTGGCAACAGTACCTGAGGGGTTGGCTGGGCTGGTTCCACGGAGGGCTGGAGAACAGCCGGCTGTGAGGGCCCGGGGAGCTGTGTGACAGGAACCGTGGTCGCTGCATTGGTCTGTGGGGGCAGATGAAAGGCGGGGAGTGAGAGGCTCCGCCAGTTGGCTATGTGGGGGCAAAGACCCAGCAGGGTGAGCATTGTGCCCCTCCCTGAGACTCCCCCTGCCGCTCCCCAGCCAGCTGGCCTTAGGCTCTGGGCAAGGTAGAGCCGCTGGCCTGGCTGGACCCAGAGCTCTCAGGTGTTGCCCTGCCCTCCTCAGGAGGAGCCCAGACCATGGCTCCCAGTGGAGGTTTAGTGACTCCCTCATCTCCCCCTCGCCCCGAGCTCGGGTCAGGACTGTCCCTGTGAGGGCTACAGCTTCTCCGAGCTGTCCGTCTCCACCAAGTCTCTGTGCCCTAGAGCCCCCAACACCACCCAGAGGCCCAGGACTCAGAAAGAGGGCATCTCACCAACCTCTGAGAAAGGGTTGAATTCAGCCAGGCCACCTTGTGGGGCATTGGTCAGCTGGGTCACAGAGGGATCCTAAGGAGGTTAGAAAAAGCCATTAGAGGGCCTCCCCGGTGGCGCAGCGGTTGAGCGCTGGGTTGCGAGGCTGCCCGCTGCCTCTGCGGCGCCGGTTCGATTCCCGGCTGTTCCTGGCCACCGGAGGAGGGTCCCACATGGCGCGCAGACCTCTCCTGCCGCCCGCTGCTCCCCTCAGCAGTGTCCTTCGGTCCTTCTGCCTGCTCTGCTCCCCGCTCTGGCTCTGGTGAATTCTCTCACCCTCCCGCGCTTCTGACTGTACCCAGTGCATGTACGAACAAACAAATAAATAAATAAATAAAACATGCCTCTATTAAAAAAAAAAAAAAAAAAAAAAAAGAAAAAGCCATTAGAATGGAGAAAAGTAAACCTTGGTGAGGGCGAGGGCCCCGGCTGGCCCTCAGCCCCTCCCGGGACTAACAATGGTAGGGACAGCGCCCCAGGAATCCTCTCCTGAAGGTTCCTGTGCCTGCCTGGAGCTGCAATCTCGTCTCCTTTACTGGAAAGGGAGGCTTTGGCCTGGATGACTTCCCTAAGCAAGCTTCACACTCAGGACACATGTTTGTTTGTTTTTAAAGATGTATTTATTGGGCCTCCCCGGTGGCGCAGCGGTTGAGCGCTGGGTTGCGAAGCTGCCCGCAGCCTCAGCGGCACCGGTTCAATCCCCGGCTGCTCCCCGGCCACCGGAGGAGGGTCCCACATGGTGCGCAGACCTCTCCTGCCACCCGCTGCTCCCCTCAGCAGTGTACTTCAGTCCCTCTGCCTGCTCTGCTCCCCGCTCTGGCTCTGGTGAATTCTCTCACCCTCCCGCGCTTCTGACTGTACCCAGTGCATGTATAAACAAAGCAAACAAACAAACAAATAAATAAATAACATGCCTCTATTAAAAAAAAAAAAATAAAATAAAGATGTATTTATTTATGCATACAAGAACTGGGGTACAGGCCAGAGGTGTGGGGGGGTGAGAGGACCCACCAGAGACAGAGTGGGGAACAGAACAGGCAGACTGACGAAATACACTGCTGAGGGGAGCAGTGGGCAAGTCAGGAGAGGTCTGCTGTGCCATGTGGGTTGCTCCCTGGCCAGCCAGGGATCAAATTTGTGCTGCAAAGGCTGCGGATTGCTTCACAGTGCGGTGCTTAACCCTTTGCGCCACCAGGGAGCTCCCAGGACACATGTTCTTATTAGTGGCCTTTAGAGATTCACAACAGTTCATTATATTCACCTCCAAGGAGTGGGGTTTTTTTGGGGAAAGGGTGTTTGGGAGGTAGTGAATGGGGTAGTGTGGACGGCAACTTACTTTTCACTTTAGAACCTTTCTGTACCGTTACATTTATTATTTCACAGATAGCATTTGTGGGTCTCCCTGGTGGCACAAGGGGTTGAGATGCAGCACTATGAAGCTAGCGGCAGCCACTGCAGCACAAGTTTGCTCCCCAGCCAGGAAGCTACCCACATGGCGCAGCAGACCTCTCCTACCTCGCCCGCTGCTCCCCTCAGCAGTGTACTTCGGTCAGTCTGCCTGTTCTGCTCCCCACTCTGTCTCTGGTGGATCCTCTCACCCCCCGCATCTCTGGCCTGTACCCCAGTTCTTATACATATAAATAAATCTTAAAAAAAAAAAAAAAAAAAAAAAAAGCATTTGTTCCTCATTTTTTTTAATGGACAGTTTATGGTTCTGGAAAAAAATACGCCACTGGCCGCCAGGCTGACTTCATTAAATCTGGCACGCTTGCTAGGAATAGAGATGTGAGAGGCTCAGACGAAAAGCCAGAAAAATGTTTTGGGTTTACTTTTTTTTCTGGATTCTGTTTTTTTTAAATGCAAAAAATGTCCTCAGAATGCAGTCGTTTCCAGAGTTTTCCATCTTTCCTCTCCCATCTTATCACTGCTGGAGGCCAGCCTCTCCAGCCCAGGGTCTGCATCTTCCTTCCTGACACAGATGGTGTGGGGCACGTGTCCCACCAGAGAGCGATGCCTGGGCTCTGGGGAGAACAGCGGGGAGGAATGAGCGTACAGAAGACTTGGCCACAGCCCCTGTTCCAACGCCTCACTGAGCGCCCCCCTCAAGCCGGCCTGTGCACCACTGTGCAGCTGCTCCTGTCCTTCTGGCCCAGCCTTCTCTCCTCAGAAAGCCTCCACAGGCTGGATTCCCCACCACAATGTTAACATCAGACCCTCAAAGAACAAGCCCCTCAATTTTCAGGTGTGGAAACAGACGCTGGCCAGGGGACAGTACTCGTCCTGGATCTCCAAATGGGAGTGGGTGCCCAAATCTCAACATTTATAGAGTTGACAGTCAGTCCCAAATGTGTTTTCTTTTTCACACATACTCATTCTCATCTTCCCACTTGAGCCCCTGCTTCTGGAAGGGGAGATAGTGTCTTCCCTGGTCCCGGGGCCTAGGCTATAGAGCCGGGTACACAGTTCCCACTCACGCCGTCTGGACAGGCCTCGTCACCTGCACTCCCTCCCAGTGTACTCTGCAGGGGGCAATGTTGCCTTTCTAAGCTGGACACCACACCAGCCTAGTGGCTGCTACAACCTGGAGAAAGTGACAAGGTAAGATTCAGGAGACCTGAGGCTGAAGGAACTGACTATGAAGTTATTCGTTGGTTGAACAACTAGCAGATTTCTCCTAAAATTACTGGGCGTGCAAGGAAGGTTTGGGACTTAGTATCTCTTCTCCTTTCAGGCATGAACCACAGCAGAGTGAGCTGAAGTCACTGAAATCACATCCTTTGTCCAAGGAACTGGTCACTTGAGCCTGATTACCTACAGGCCGGAGGAAGGGGTGGCTCTGGTAGCAGTGTTAGGTACGGGCATCTGCACCTGGCTGAAGGCAACATCCAGCCCCATAAAGAGGGGCCATTTCCTTTCCCAATGTCAGCCAAAAGGATTCTGGGAGGTGGGGAGGGAGGAGGGGCTGGCCATCCTGTCCACACTGACCCTTCCTGCTTTTTCTACCATCTTGAAACTTTTGGCCCTGAGCCCCTCACTATAAACCAACCCTGTGTCCACTAGAGGGCTGTAAGCTCCGCAGCCAGATGTTTCTGTGTCTAGCTCACACTGACCTCCCAACCCTTGGCTGGGAGAGCAGAAGGGCTGATGCAGAGCAGAAGCCCAGGTAATGGATGAGAATAGATGCTGTAAGCTGCAGGCCCTCCAACACATTCTCTAGGAGGCACTGCCCAAATGTGAGGGCAGAGAGAAGTGGAGGGCACTGCATCACGGCAGCAGCCTGTGCCCAGCAGCACCTTGCCTGGAAGAGGTGCCTGGAAGACTGGGCGACGTGGGCACTTCCATCTGACAATACCTGGGCTCTTTCTGGAAGAGGTAGGGAGCTTCAAGAGTAGTCGGGGCCCAGGGATGGAGGAAGTGGGGAGAGAGGGGGACTGAGGGTGGATGCTGACATTTGCTGAGTGTCTACTGTGTGCCAATAGCAACCATATTGTCATGAAAGTCTAGCCATTCCAGAACTGGCCACTGAGTCAAATTGTCAGAAATGGAGGTTCTACCAGCCTTTTTGAACCTGGCTCCTTGGGAGAACAAAGCCTCACTGCCCTAAGGCTTCCATTGTCCCCAGTGACTTTTCTCCTGTGCCTCTAGGTGGCCCTGGTTTCACGCCATTTTTCCACCCCAACCAGCTGCTGTTCTGTGGCTCAGATGAGGCATCTGGCTGAGAAAGCACGTCTGCCTTCAACCTCATGCCAAGTCAGTGAGGGAGAAAGAGTCAGAGCTTGCAGGCAGAGAAAGGTACAGCTCAGAGAGCAAGGTAGTTCATCTAGAGTCCTGTGGTAGCGGGGCCTGACTCTGAATTCACGTCAATCTAATGAGTGATAACCCAGAGAGAATGGGCCCTGTGGAGCTGCTTGCCAGTGCACCCCAAAGCCTGGGCAGTGCCAAACAAGCAGAAAGTACGCAATCTGTGTGTGGCTGAATGGGTGAACCCCACTCTAAAGGGACCCTGACGAGGATATCACAAGTGACCAGATGATGACAGCTTCTTTCTTTATTCCCTGACTTCAGGGCCTCCCCTGGTGGTGCAGGAGGTTGAGCACAGCGCTGTGAAGCTGTCCGCAGCCTCTGCAGCGCAGGTTCGATCCCGGCCAGCCAGCGAGGGTCCCATATGGCACGGCAGACCTCTCCTGTCTCGCCCGCTGCAGTGTATTTTGGTCCATCTGCCTGTTCTGTTCCTCACTCTGTCTCTGGTGAATCCTCTCACCCTCCCGCAAGTCTGGCCTGTACCCAGTTCTTGTATAAATAAATCTTTAAAAAAAATATATTCCCTGACTTCAGAGAGCTGGTTCTTGAGGAACAGCCCAGGTAAGAGAGGAGGAGGCTTATGAGTGAGGACCACACTGACAGCCTCGCGTAGGGACCCTCAGCTTTCGCTCTGAGTCACAAGTAAGTCAACAGCCACAGCCTCCTTTTCCACTCATGGAGCACCAAGTGGCTTGAAAGTGGGTCAAGCCGTTATTTCAAAGGCTGGTGAGAGCTTAGTTTCACCAATGAAGAAGTAACCTAAAACCCCTCAGTGCCCAGAGGACTCAGACTGACTAAGGTCTTTTACTGAATTTATAACAAAACGTGCCTGAATACAGTGTGGCCCATTCACGAGCAGTCACACACAGCGTGGGGGACGCACCGAGACAAACAGGCGCAGCTCTTGCCCTCCTGGGGGCCAGTCTGGTAGCTGAGCAGAGAACACAGGGCAGGAGAGCCCAGGCTGGAGCACAGCCAATAGGGGGTCCCCAGGAGGGCTTGAAGGAAAGTGGGGTACCAAGGGGAAGGGGGCGAGAGAGCCAGACCCAGGCAGTAAGGCTCATCCCAGCTGGGCAGGGGGCATTTCCGCAGCTGCAGCGTGAGGGACCAGAGAGGCAGGCAGAGTTAGGCTGCAGCTCTGGTGGGAAAGGCCTGGCAAAAACACTGTTTTCACTGGTTTGGCGACCTCTTCATGCTCCACACAGTCCTCTGTGACTTTTCCTTGCTTTCCCATC